ACTGAAAGCAAGAAATTCAGTGACTGCAAATTCCATGGTTTTAAAAGCCCCCTGTCACTGGGTAAGTGTCTGTGGGTGCACTAGAACTGAACAAAGAGTTTTGTCATGATTGTTCTCGTCGTGGAGCCCTCCAGGTCAGCTCTGCTCTAAGCCATATGTGGAGCATAGAATTGTGGAATGGTTTGGGTTGGAAAGGACCTTAAGATCATCCAGTTCCAACCTCACTGCCATGGGCATGGATGCCTCACCCTGGATCATGTCGCCAAGGCTCTGTCCAACATCAGTTGTCCGCTAGTATTCACAAGCTGTGTACCACCACTCTGAGCGTGTAGCTGGGGCTACACCTGCAGTAGTCATTTCCAGCTGGTGCTCTTAGGGATGAGGGGTTTCCCAACTGCCAGAGCTGAGGGCAGCACAGGGATCCTGAGTGGGCAAGGGAAATGAAGCTGTTGCTTACCAATGTCATGTGCCAGGGTACTTTAAAACCTCACTGGGGAGTTTTGGGGGCATTCAGAGGCACACTCAGGTTACACGTAAGCCAGGTTTATCCTATTTAACCACAGTTCTGGATTTACAATCCAGCCTTTCCTGAAAGGCAGCTTTGGTTTAGGTTTAATGGTTCCAGAAATACTCTGCTGTGCTCACAGCTCATTTTAAGAGCCAGTGGTATAATTTGGATATCCTGACAGTTCACAGAGAGGCTTCCCAGTCTGGCTCATTGAGGAACTATTAGATCAGGTTACAAAAGTGAAAATTCAGGTTAAATATTAGGTAAAACTTCCTGGTAATAAGATATCTTGGGCTGTGGAATAGCCTGTCTGTGGAAACAGTTCTGCGTGCAGCTCTAGAGTTCTATTAAAATCTTTCTGTGTTGGCACAGAGAAAGCCTACTCTTTTGATAATCTGATAGAGCATCTCAAATTCTTTCACCTTGGGTATATTAATACTACACATAATTAAAATTGGATCATGATAAATTAACTAATTTGCCCTGAGAGTGATCAAAGGGCCTTTTGCCCTCAGGGTTTGTAATAGCTGCTCTTCCCCCCCTCCATTTTAATCATCAGTCTGAAATGTTTACTGGAAAAAGAAAAATTTCCAGGAATTACACTCTGCGAGTCCCCTGCTCCTGAAGCTGGTGAAGTGTAAGGATGCCCTCTGCTGAGCAGGGGCTCCGGAGCTTTCTTCTAGGAACAAGGCGGGGCTGGAACTAGGTGTTCTTTAAGGTCCCTTCGAACCCAGACTATCCTGGAATCCAGTCCCCTGAATGTGACAAGAAATCTATCCAGTGGTGAAAGACAACTGATGATGAGAGGTTCTAAATACATTAGCAAAAAATACATCTCTGTTTCTGCTCAGAGTTTTTTAGGCATTGTCATGATGTTCAGGACGAACACAGTTTAAGGCCCTTGTGAAATACGGCATACATGAGTACATTATTCTACTTAAATATAATAGTTGAAAATTTTCTTCTTGCTGTAAAGTAAGTCTGCGAAAATGCTTGTTCAGTTCTCAGAAAAGGAGGAAATATATGCACCCACTAGCAGAAGTGATGTCTTCAAGAGGAATACCATGTCACTTGCTTTGTTCCTGAAAAGATTTGGGAATTCAGGAAACCACAAGCAGCAGCGGAGAGCTGATCCTGTGCTGCGAGTTGAAATCAGATCAAAAGTTCCTGTTTTTTCTTCTCAGTTAAAGCCAAGTCAGGACTTCCTCTGGTTTCAGATTGTTGAAGGAGGTTGAGCATCACCTTAATTCCTCCTACAGTCTATTTCCTTTAGTATAGAGAGGTTTAGAAAGCTACTAACTGGCCACTTAAAACTCGGATGAGTATGCTGTGTAAAGGAGCAATATCTCAGTGAGGCTAATGGTGAGGGTTTTGTCATTGAATTAGCCAGATAAATAATTCAGTGTACCTGAGGAGATCTGGAAGATGACAAGCTCTGAAGTATGTATTAAAAAACAAAGTACTGAATTCTAATTAAAATCCATGCAGTTTTCTCTTACAGAAGGTAGGGATTTTTTTTTCTAGCCCTGGTTTTAATCAACTGATTCTAATGCAACTAAATGATTCTGTAAGAATTTGCTTCATATGTAATGGTGCTATACAGCTGCAGAAATGAGCTGTTAGGAATCTCGTGAAATGTAAAGCCCTGCACCTGGGGAGGAACAATGCCTGGCACAAGTGTATGCTGAGAAATGCTTCTTTATCCTTAGGAATACTGAGCACTGGAGCTGGGTGCCCAGAGAGGTGTGGAGTCTCCATCCTTGAGATATTCAAAAACTGTCCAAGCATAGTTTTCAACAGTCAGCTTTTGATAGCCTGGCTTGAGCAGGATGGTTGGACCACAAAAGCTCCAGAGGTTCCTGCCAACCTCAGCCATTCTGAGATAATGCCTCTGGATAGCAAATTAGGCAAAGATGACCTAGAAACAAATACATTCTGACAGCAATCAATACTCTTTCATACATAGAGTCAGAGCTTTTGGAGCAACGAAGTAAGTAATAGCAGCAGTGCAACTCTGAATGCAAATAGAGTAGCAGTGTGTAAGCCTGTGACACTCAACAGCAGTGCCCAGGTTGTGGCTGCCTGTGCTGAACAGATCCATACATCGGGTCTGTTGTTGCAACAAGCTGGATCAGCTGGTTGGCATAAGGTAAAAATATCCTAACGCTGAATCCTGCCATCTGGGAATAAATTAGTACAGGAGAAAATAGCCATATAAGTAATAATGTTTCCAACAAGTGAATGGTGCATATTTATGTTAAGGTATATTCCTGTCTTTTCAAAATATTCTTGTGAGCATCTGAAAGTGTGCAAGTCTGAATGCACATACTGCATAAAACCCTTCCTACATGAAAGGAATCATACACAGGTTTCTCCCTGGTATTGAATGGAGATGTTTCTAGCCTCCCAGGTCCTGAACTAGCAATTCAGAGCAGTTTGATTGCCTGCTTGATTGTTTGTGAGATAACGGTGAGATTGGCAGTGACAGGGTAATTTACTGAAGATTGCAATGTCAGACTATATCCAAAGGGGCTTGCGAGCATCAAGATGTGATTCGCATGACTGACAGGACGCTGAGAGATTGATATGCCAATTGAAAGTTCATGGTGCCATCAGAAGTGCTCAGTTGCAGCATCCCATAATCTGCTGCCTGATGAGGTCATTACAGACATAACATATGCTCACCTCTAATAACAGGTATAGCAAAAATATGGTGCAGCTTGAACAGGTAAATGTAAATTTATCAAAGGCAGTAATTTATATGCTGTGTTTTGCTTCTGTTATTTCTGATGTGTTGGTAGGATTCTGTTGACTGGTGGTCATATGAATGAAAGAACTGAGCAGACTGAACAGTGGTCAGCTTAAAGTTCATGGCTGTGGAGGTGTCACAAACTGAGAGAGAAAGCAGGATGCGGAGCAAAAGTTCTCAGAGCTTAATAGGAAAACTGCCTTGAGTTATAATCTGAAGCTAATGGTGCCCTTAGAATGATTATATAAAGCGGGTGGGAAGAGGACTGTAGCAAGAACGAAAATTCCTACCACCACACTGGAAAGGATTTCAAGATGAATGCAGCTTTTAATGTGAGCCGGCGACTGACCTTACAGCAAGGTATAGCTCTTGCAACAAGGTAGTTTGTCTAACTTAAATTTCCTTAGAGGGCTGAATGAAACATTGTCAGGAAACCTTGGCAATTTTGGTTTTAAATCAGAAACAGTCATTTCAGGCACACATGGGCCATTGGAAATACCAGGCTGATTGTAAAATAAGAAACCTTTTTATAGGTTTGGGTTTTTCTTTTGCTGTTGTTTTTCCAGTTACCACTGTGTAGGGTAGTGCTGGTCTGTTGTGCATTTGAAAAGCTTTAGAATACATGAATCATGATCGTACTCTGGAGTAATTTTGTCAGCTAACCTGCTGGAATGTTCTCTCTTGTGCATGGTCTTCAGTAGGTGCCCAGGCCGTATTTGTACTCAAAAATCAGATTAATATGTCCTGGGGAGTCTGAAAGTTTACAGACCTAAGTAGATTGCAGATTGGATGCCTGATTCTTGCCAGAGTAGATGAATAAATGTTTCTGAATTGTTAGAGGGTAATATTTTAAAGTAAATGGCTATTAATCTCTAAATTACAGTAGAGCTCCATTGAGAGAACATATTTCAGTTAAATGATAATGCCAGTGGAAAGTATGATGCTAGAAGTGGTTACGGTATGCGCTAAAAATAGTCAGTTGTGATTTATCTCAGTGTACAGATCAATCTCCCTGATGAGGATTCCATTTTAATTTCTGGCGTTTAAATTCTAATTTTTCTTAAAAATACTTCCTAAGACATATTCTTGATGGACAACCTAACATGTAATGTGATGACTGAACCCACCAGCTCTGTGAGTGATCCTTCCTGACTAAAGCATGCAAACAAGTTCTGAATCAGATATCTGTGGGAGGTGGGAGTTCCAGCAGCACTTCTCTATTGCCCAAATGGGTACAATGTAGTTTGTATCTTACTTGGGTAATGACAACTTACTCTCTCACTCCTGTCTCCTTCCCTTATCTCCCCAGACTGAGCAAATGAAATTAAACAACATAATTCTCAAGAATCTTAAAGTGCAGTAAGGAAATCTAAAACCTTTGTAAAACAAACAGTTGGAAAGCTTTAAAAAAACAGAACAAATACAACCAAACAAATAAAAAAATAACCAAAAAATTCCTGAACTTCTGCCACTATTCTTTTTTTCCCAGTTTCAACTCTTAAGAGATTTCTTTGGGATTAATTCTCACCTAACACTGGTTTGAATTAGTTGTCGCAGTAATGGTGTTTAACCAGTGTTCTTGGGACAGCCTCATCCTCGTTGGTTCAATCACCAGTTTTATGGCATAGGGATGTTATGGAGTGTAAGCATTAAGGTTTTTCCAGTTCCTTAAGATGTCCATTAGATGCTATTACTTGATAGCACAGTGCAGCTGGCTGACTCCAGATGACTCTTACCTTTCAGATGGCTTGGTTGACTGCCTGGACCCAGATTGCTGCCTCCAGTCTACTTGTCAAAATAGCCTGCTGTGCCGTGGTTCACGTGATCCCCTTGACATCATACAACAGAGCCATTCAGGTTCCCCAGCTGTGAAGTCATTCTACGATCGGATCAAGCTTTTAGTGGGGAAGGACAGCACTCACATCATCCCAGGAGAAAATCCCTTCAACAGCAGGTAGCAGCTATAAAATATGATGCTGTGTCTGTGCAGTTGCATTGTTTGGAAAAATTCCTCCCAGACACTTTATTCATATTTAAACATGAGATGTTGCTTTCAGATGCTTCATGTGTTTGCATCTGACGCATCATTCCCACTGAGGGCACGGTCTTGCAATTTGTGGTGTGACCTTTATTTTATAGCACTGAGTTTTATTAGCATTTTAACATATTGGAAACCCCTAGAAAAAGATTCCTTCCACTAGGCAGGAGCTTCTGAGTTTAATATTTTATGAAGCCTGCAATCTAGAACAAGGGAAAATGTAAACTAGTTTCCAATTAGAGATTGCATTTTATTTACTGCCCTTAACACAAGTTTCAATAATGGAATAACATTTCAAATTATTCTAAAGATACATTAACTTAGGGGGGATTTGATTATGTATTCCGTATATAAATCTGTTTTACTTGCATCATCAATGCATCTCACTAGGTTTTCATTTTATTCTTTGTTTTCTTTTCCTGTGTTTGTTCTTATTATTAATTGTATGTTTATAATGATTGTAAAAGCCAGCACATCATTAATTGATGTTTGATGCCATTGTATGCTTCAAGAAAAGGGGTGTTACTATTTGTCAATATTATTTAAATATATCTCCATGGAAAGATGCTAAGAAGTTGATGAATATGTTAATTATGTTCATATTGCCAAGGTTAAAACTGGAGAAATAACTTCATTTGAGATAGTGCCCAAAATATTGGACTTCATTACAGGAAACTCTTTTTTCAGTCAGGATTTCATTATAGGCTCACTGGGTGAGGCAGAGCAAGCCACTAAATATTTGTCTGTAAAATGAGGATCATAACATTTCTGGATGCACCAGGCAGGTCCCCATTGTATGTTCAAATGATTTCCATATTCTGTCAGAAAATCCCTGTTGGATCCTACTTTATGTAATATAGACTTTATTCTATTCTATAAAATACTCCATGCACACATGGAGTTTGGCAAAATAATAGGAAATTGTTAAATTGCTCTGGTTTCATCTAATTTGTTGTGATTTTTTTTTTTTTCTCATCAGCTCTGTAAAAATAAGATGAGGGAATTGCTGCAATATTTTGCAGTGTTACATGAGAAAGAAAGCAAGGCGAGAGTGAAGCTTACTCATTCATGGGCTGAGCAATTGTTCAAAAAGGAATCCAGGCTACAGCATAAAAGACATCCAGTCCATAGGCTGGTTGGTGCCTGCTGCTCTCTATGTGTTATGATCACCAAAATTTCCTGGAGTTAAGAGGAGCAGGCAGTTTCCTGTGCCATACTGTATGTAATGAGTGCTTGAGCCGCTGTCTCATTAAGCCACCCAGAATGAAAATGAGTATTCCCTGTATCTGTATTGCGCTATCATCTAGAATGTTTAGTTGTGTTGCTAACATGATCCAGCGCTTCATTCCTACAGCTTGAAGTATTGTACAAAAGCAGGTGATTATCCTTCCAGATTTCTAGAGGAGTATCGTGACATGCGGATGTTCTTATGCCACCCAAGAAATACTAGAAACTGTATTAGAAATAATCAAGCTGTGTAGGCATGGGTAGAGGTTGGAGTCTTCTAAACAGTATGAATTAGAGCCCTAGACTAAATGGGTGCTGGGGACTTCAATCCTGAGGCTCTTTGAAAAAATCTCATTCTAAATTTTAGCTTTATGTTAAGTATCTTTTCTAGGGTTGCTGGTGGCAGGAGTTTTAGTTCTGTTTTATTCATCTGAAGTGTGTCGTGTGTTTTAACACATCTTTGCAAATGGCATATTAATGACATTTTTAAATTGGCCTTAACCTCTAAGTCGTGAAGGTGCTTTTGAGAAATCTACAGCTCAGCTGTTATTTTTGGTACCAATTTTAGGCAAATCTAATACAAAGTGTCAAACTGAAGGTTTTAAAACTAAGATTTTTGACTTTGTAAAAGTGCCACAGGGTTAGATTCCAAGTTTCACATTTATTGAAGCTGCCACAGTCTCAAGAATAGCTAACAGGACAGATAATGCCTTCTCTCTTTTCTTAGCTCAACCTCTCATTCAAACCGGGACAAAATAGTGGTTATGATTTTTTCCAGTACTAGCATAAGAAAAAGAAAGTTATTTCCTACTCTGCTAAAGCAGTAAATAACAAAATGCGTTGATTGCAAGAATCACCTATTTTGTCAATTTTAAAGATATTTGAAAGATTGCAAAATGAAAGTTGTCCTCTCTGTGACTATCAGTCAACATAGTACTTCTTATAAATCCAGATTTAAGCTACAAATTTTCATCTCTATTGTGTCCCATATGTTGGTGTTTTAGAAATGAAAAGTATTAGCCACAATGTTCTTATTCAAATTATTTCCTGAAGTATTAAAACTGAAGGTAGAAAAAATTAAGTCATGAACATTATTAGTTTTCTTCTACCATATGATGATTTCTTCCTTTATCTGCTTTCTGTACTGTTCCCCTATAGAAGCTTGAGTGACTATCTTCCTACAGCTATTTCTGTATGTTTGTAACACAAAATAATTCCAGCAAGAACAATAATGCCATCTTGGGCAGCTTCCATTAAATTCCATATTCTGTTATGAAATGTTGATTTTGCAATTAGAATTTGACCTGAAGGGTCAAGTAATGATTGAAAGTTCTGAAACCAAAGTAACAGAAATGGTTAATTTTCATTAATTTCTTTTATGTAATATTGAAGAACATATTATACCTTGTTTGGAATAAAAATGGAAGGAAGTAGTGGTTGAATTGGCAGTTAATACAGTTAGAAATTTACATCAAGTACCTTGAACATCTCAGAGTTAATAGAAAAGACCTGAAAACAATCCCTGATATTCATAGAATCATAGAATAGTTAGGGTTGGAAAGGACCTTAAGATCATTAAGTTCCAACCCCCTGACATGGGCAGGGACACCTCACACTAAACCACGTCACCCAAGGCCTCGTCCAACCTGGCCTTGAACACTGCCAGGGATGGAGCATTCACAACCTCCCTGGGCAACCCATTCCAGTGCCTCACTACCCTTACAGTAAAGAATTTCCTCCTTAGATCCAATCTAAACTTCCCCTGTTTAAGTTTTAATCCATTACCCCTTGTCCTATCACTACAGTCCCTAATGAAGAGTCCCTCCCCAGCATCCCTATAGGCCCCCTTCAGATACTGGAAGGCTGCTCTGAGGTCTCCACGCAGCCTTCTCTTCTCCAGGCTGAACAGCCCCAACTTTCTCAGCCTGTCTTCATACAGGAGGTGCTCCAGTCCCTGATCATCCTCATGGCCCTCCCCTGGACTTGTTCCAACAGTTCCATGTCCTTTTTATGTTGAGGACACCAGAACTGCACACAATGCTCCAGGTGAGGTCTCACAAGAGCAGAGTAGAGGGGCAGGATCACCTCTTTGGACCTGCTGGTCACGCTCCTTTTGATGCAGCCCAGGATACGGTTGGTTTCTGGGCTGCAAGCGCACACTGAAGCCGGCTCATGTTCATTTTCTCATCAACCAACACCCCCAAGTCCTTCTCTGCAGGGCTGCTCTGAATCTCTTCTCTGCCCAACCTGTAGCTGTGCCTGGGATTGCTCCCACCCAGGTGTAGGACCTTGCACTTGGCATGTTTAAACTAGTGCAAATAGATGTGCTCTGATGCCATCTGCTTAGAGCCATGCCGGAATTGAACTGCATTGTGCCAGGTTTCAGGCAAGCAGCTCAGTTTGATCCCCATGTCCTGCAGCTCAGATTGGGTGTCAGGATGCTGGGTATCAGGATGCTGGGTGTCAGGGTGCTATGCCTGTTGGTGTGCATGGAGCTGCAAAGACTTAGGGGCAGCTCCAGTCCCTCCAGCACAGTCTGTTCAAAAATGGGGCTTTTCTGCCTCATTTTTGATCCTATAGATTATGGATTACAGCAGGATTTAACTCTCTCCCTGTTTCCCCAGATTGCTTTCTCCTTTTTTCATGTTTTCCATATAGAAAAGGAAACCATCTAGAGGAGACGTACATCTACAAGGATGTCTTTTCCATCTCCCTTTGACCATGCAGCTTTCCCCACTCACCAATCTGCTTCTCCCAGGGTACAGGGAATGTGGAAGGGAAATGAGCTGGGGCATGGAGACTCCTCTCCAGCTGGGAGAGGAGAGGGGCAGGAACAGACTGGCCATGCAGGAGAGCAGTGCAGCAGGGAGCAGTGGGACTTGCTGTTTCCAGTGCTCGGAGGCTGAGGAGGCAACCAGGTGGGCAGCAGCGATTTCTGCCCACTGTTCTTAGATGCAGCAGAGTACTCTCAAAAGAGAACAGACTGACTGTGGCTCACATGTGAATGACCCCTCTTCTTCTCCATTAGGTTAAGCAAAGCTGCTTAACCTGTTGGCTAAGAAAACTCTGGCCTTAAAGTCCTTTCACCTGCTGACAAAGTTGAAAAGTAAAGGTTGCAGATCAGGACCAAATGCAGTGTACAAACATCAGTCACACCCTAAGATGAAGGAATATGAACCTCGGTTTGGAAAACTGGTTGTATAAAAGAGGTATGACATTACACTGTATTCGCCTAGTGTATGAGGCATCCACAGACACTCTGTTGTACCCAGGGAGGTTTTTGAGAAGTGCCCAAGTATTGTTTCAGTGGGACTTCAAGGTCACAGTTCTGACATTGCTGAATATGAGACAGCTTTCTACTCTGCAAAGCCTCCTTAGACAGTGAAACAAAGCCTTGTTAGACAAGGCACCAACTCCCATTCTGTATACACAGACCTCACTGCATAGGTCAGCAGTATAAATATAAGTATATAGATGACACTGGGCCAACATCTTCAGTATCTTCTAAAAATCTTCGGATTTAGAGTAAATGAGGCACAAATGTTCCACTACTCAGTTTATAAGCCACGTAACTTTCGTAACTAACTTTAATACCTTTAATTATCTTTCTTCTTCAGTCTCGTGTCTCTCATAAGAGGCCAAGTGGTGACTACAGATGGAACGCCTCTAGTTGGGGTCAACGTGTCATTTGTCAAGTATCCAAAGTATGGCTATACCATCACTCGTCAGGATGGCACGTGAGTTTGCTTGCTTCATTGTGTCTCTATTTCAGATAGTGTCTTTGCTGATTAACAGATGGTATGATCTAATGGAACCATGTGGTACCATGCATCGCATTCCTCCCAGGGCAAAGAACTATTAAGTAAACACAAAAGTAATTTTTCACATGGCACTTTGAATGCTAACTGCGAGTAGATATGCAAGGGCTGACTTCTGATAATGACGTCTTAGCAGGCACACTCCTTTCCAATAAATTGCTTTGTATCCATGAAAACATTTGTGGACTACAGTAATATCCAGCTGAGACCAGAAATACTGCATTTTAAAATGCAAGGCAGGCAAACCCTGCTAGGGAAAAAAAAGTATCATTATAGAAGAGTATATTTTGTTAAGAGTTCCCTTCTGACTCTCTTCCCTTTTGAAGATCCACTATCTTTTGAGCTTCTTCAGGGTAGAATGTAATCAAAAGATTCTAATTGAATATATTTAGACAATTTCCTGCTGTGCAAAAAAGTGCTTTTTCCCCCTTGTATCAGCTGATTTGAAATGCACACAAATTCAGATAAACACAAATCAGAGTGTCGGGGTTTATCTAGTTTCCTGGCTATGGTAACTAAACCAGTTTCTCTGTGACACGTGCATTGTAAACATTTGCCATTTTATCTTCATCTTGCATGCAAACAATTGAATTGAAATAATTGAGTCAAATGAACTATAGGGAGTGTTTAATTTCCATATTTCCCAGAATATTATTCTGTTATAATAAAAGCATACTGTGCTTGACTTCAGTGGTTTCATGCTACAGTAAATGCTGAACTGAACTGTATTTAAATCTGAATAGGTTATATAAATCATGGAGTCATTTGTCATGTTGCCATGAAACGACTGATATCTACTTCTGTTGTCAGAACAACCTGGAAGTATTTTACTCAGGCCAGATTTCAAAATGCCTGCGCAGCTACATATTACTGCTCTGGTTATGTAGGGGTGGGTGTAAATACCTCATCTCTCTGAAAACTGAGATCAATTGTCCTGGGCACAGGAATTGTTACCTGATTTGTAGAATACAAACAGCAAAGCTTTTCATTACTATTCTCTTAATGCCACATGTCCCGTTCTGTACTTAATGGACAGCATCTCTTAGAAAAGGGCTAATTCAGTGCCCAGTGCCATATGAACTTGGCTTCTCTGCTGATTCTATAAATAAAGGTGACTTGTGGTAATAAATGGGGTGATTTGTTTGTTGGGTATTTTTTATATATTTAATGTAGAGTTTATAATACATAGGGACAAGGGTTGTCCAGGTAACTTCAAATCATTGCTTGTTTTGGCTGGATTTCAGTTGTTCAGTGGCCAGAGGTTCACATGCCATTACTGGTCATTTGAAGCATAATACTGAAAAAATGCGGTTGTGGTTTAAGCCCAGCCACCAGCTCAGCCCCATGCAGCCACCCTGGTGGGACAGGGGAGAGAATCAGAAGGGTAAAAGCAAGAAAACTCATGGATTGAGATAAGAACAGTTTAATAATTGAAATAAAATCTAATAATAACAGTAACATAATAGTGCTAATAATTGTAATGAAAGGAAAATAACAAAATAAAAAGAGATAACTAAAACCCAAGTGATGCAAGTGCAAAGCAGCTGCCGACCCCACGCCGATCGATGCCCAGGCAGTGGCCTGGCCAAGCCTTCCCTGCAGTTTATCTGCTGAGCAGGATGTCCTATGGCACAGGACATCCCTTGGGTCAGCTGTCCCAGCTGTGTCCCCTCCATGCGCCCTCGGCATCCTTGCTGGCAGGTCACTACAAGAAGCTGAAGAGTCCTTCTTAGTGTAAGCAGTGCTCAGCAACAACTAAAACATCCCCTTATGATCAACTTGTCCTAAAGCAAAAACACAGCACTATACCAGCCACTAGGGATAAAACAAACTCTATCCCAGCCAAAGCCAGGACATAAACCTATTGCTGTAGGTATACTGATATACCTATTTCATTAGCCAGGAAATCTGTTACTGGAATTACTCAGTCTTGTCACTTCTAAAGCCCACATTTTTCTAGGTTTGACTTGGTGGCAAATGGTGGAGCATCCCTAACCTTGCACTTTGAACGGGCTCCATTTATGAGTCAGGAAAGGACAGTATGGTTGCCATGGAATAGCTTCTATGCCATGGACACGCTTGCCATGAAGACAGAGGAGAACTCCATTCCCAGCTGTGATCTAAGTGGTTTTGTCCGTCCTGACCCACTCATCATTTCATCACCACTTTCAACTTTCTTCAGTGATGCTCCAGGCCGGAATCCCATTGTACCAGAAACCCAGGTAAGAACAGTGTGAGTGAAAAGAATGTGGAAATCAGTGGTGAGGTGCTAGTACTGAACTGAGCACTTGCTGCAGAGGCACCATTTTTCCCCTGGAATTGTGAGCTGCTTTCATTTTGACAGATACCGGGTTTTCCAATGAGGTCTGCAGGAGATTTCCTAAGTTTATGTCACCCAGACACGTTTATCTTTGACTACCATGCACCTTCTCATTATCAAACAATATATCAGGTGCATCTCTGTATTTCAGTTGACAGCTTAGGTGTTTCAAGAGAATTATGTAAAGTGTGTGGTGCTAACTACAGGCTGTTTAGGGCAAAGGAAAACTCTACCAATGCTATCGTTTCACTACTTTAGTTAGTCTTTACTTTATGCTGTTAGTGAAAGCTGCTGCTTCCTGTGACTATTTCTTATGTTCCCCTTAAATACAACTTGCAGTAAAAGTACTTGTACTTATTTGCGCTTGTGCCAGCACTGGGCTCTTAGAAAGTGTACACAGATACCAAAGAGTTACTTCTCCAGAAATGTCAGTTGAGGACAGCAATTCCCAATATCAGAAAGCTGTAAGTCCATAAGAATAGGCAAGGGGACATTATTAAAAAAAATAACAAAGCGCTAATGTGAAATGTTTGATCTCTTTCCTGTTCAGGTTCTTCATGAAGAAATTGAGATCCCTGGCTCTAGCATAAAGCTCAGCTACCTGAGTTCCCGTACTGCTGGATACAAATCCTTACTTAAGATCACCATGACTCAGTCACTTGTGCCACTGAATCTAATCAAAGTTCATTTGATGGTAGCAGTAGAAGGGCATTTGTTTCAAAAATCATTTCAGGCGTCTCCCAACTTGGCATATACATTTATCTGGGACAAAACAGACGCGTATGGTCAGAAGGTTTATGGGTTGTCAGATGCTGTAGGTAAGTCAGCATATACAAGCTCCAAAACTTTTCAAGTAAGACCTGTAATTCTCAGTAAGAAAACTGCAGAGATTTCTTATGGGGAAGCAAATACAGCAAAGACATTTCTTGTCTTCCTGACACAATCTATCTTTGTATTATGTTTCTTTTACACATTAAAGATCACATTCAGAGGGTCTAAACTCCATCAACATGCCTGTGTTTCCTGATCGGTAGCTGACTTACAAGGTTTAAGCCAGACATGGGAAAAACTGGCCACAGGAACTTAGGTGAAACCTAGTCCATCACTACGTGTTTATTTTCTTTCAGTTAACAAATGAACATCCTGCTGGGCTGTCTGGCATTCTTCAGTGCATTTGGGTTTTTATGCATGCTGTTATTATAGCCTCTTGTGGTGCAATACATTTGAAATGAAAACGGTCCTTTTCTAGTGCTGCTCAGTCTTGTAATTCTATAGCTGGCTTTAGTTCACTTGGTTCTAGTGGGGGGGGGAGGGAGAGTGATCATCATATTTTAAGTTTTCATTTTCATATCAGAACCCTTTTGATACAGCAGTGCTAAAAAGAGGCATCAGAGCTGTGCCAGTGTGAAAAGAAAAACCGATTTCAAACTCTGATTTCTTTTCTATATTTTCTAAAATCGTCTTTGCTGTAGCTTTTCTTACATTGTTGCATAGGATATTGCTTTCCTGAGTAATGCTTGCAGTGCCTATGTGCTTAAAAGCACCCAAACTTTTCACTGCTCCTTGGTATATGGTCTGTAAGGTGAACGCACTAAATAAATCCTGTGAACACATGGCAAATGAAGACTTTGATCTCATCTGTGATCTGATAGAATAATTTTATGATATTTTAAACCCCGTATTTCTCACTCTCACCAAACTCTCACTTCTCACCGCCAGCTATTCAAAGAGAAGTGATCAGATCCCTGCAGAGTACATATGAATGAAGTTTCAAATTTGTGTCTAGTCAAAGATCTGAATTTAATATTGTAGAATAAAAGAGAGGAATATAATCACTCCATCTTGAGGGGCTGGGGAGCTGGAATGCTGAATGATTTGAATGTGCTCTGGACATTTAATTCAGTGTTTGTTCAGCAAGTATATTAGTTTTTATTTTATTTCAGTTTCTGTGGGGTTTGAATATGAGACTTGCCCCAGTCTCATTTTATGGGAGAAGAGGACAGCACTGCTGCAAGGCTTTGAACTAGATCCTTCAAATTTAGGAGGATGGTCTTTGGATAAACATCATGTACTTAATGTCAAGAGTGGTGAGTTAGTTAATTCCGTGTTTTCTGTGCTGTATGGAGTTTTGTGAACCCTTTTTATTTGCTTTATATTTACACTTGAAAAAGCAATTTCTCCAGTGGTTTTGTTCCACCTTTGGCTCAGGAAAGCATGCACACGTTTCAGTTGTCAGAAAGTTTTTGTAGACTTTCAACAAATGTTTTACTGTTCTGCACAGCAAGTCCTTTATCCTCTATTCTATTGTTCATGTATTCCCTCGTAATGTCCTTCTGTCTTCCTTCCCTGTTTTTCTGATAACAACCATACCCATTCTGGTTCCATTTGACCTTTTTCCCTCTAATCTGAGATGGGGCTTACAGGGAGTACGAGTCTGTGATGAGATACTGAGTCTCATTTGTCCTTCTCCTTTGTCACCTGTTTGGTTTTTCCTCCCTTTTCTTTGTCTTTACATATCCTAAGCTGAATGTTCCTGGTCTTCATATTTTACTTGAAATACCTTAGGGAGCTGAATGCTTAGCATGCATTTCATTTGATCCTGTGAAGTGTTTTCTACAGCCTTCCTGCTGATCCCAGCATTAACCAATTGCAAAGGATATTGTTACTCAAGTAACCTAAAGTAGTATTCAGAATAGGCATAAAGTAGTATTCAGAATAGGCAAGATTTTGCACACACTTCAGGTGTTGTGCAGCAGTCAGATGCTGTAGAGATGATAATCATTTGGATAGTACATGATATTCACTGTTGTCACCAGCAGGGTCCCAGTTACATTAGCATCATACAACTGCATACAACTGCCTCTGGCAGCACAACTTCAGAATGAAGTTGCAGAGAGTGAAACTTGTTACAATTGCTTACAACCCCACATCACACAACTAAATTGACGAGACTTTGAGGCACGCAACAGAAGAAATCCAAAGAACGGTGATTTCAGAATGCCAGGTTAATGTAGAAAACATTAAAGCATCTTATTCCCTCAGTGACATGGTTTTGTGGTGGGCTTGGCAGTCCTGGGTTGGACTTGATGATCTTAAAGGTCTTTTCCAACCTGGTTTATGCTATGATGCTATGATTTCCAAGAGAACCGGAGGCTAAAATTTTTTGGTTAGGTTTCTACAGTCTTTGATGGCATGGAAAATGGTCACTGCAGAGGATCCACTCTCCTCTGGGAGCAGGGGACTGCTTTTTGAACTAATATTTTGAGAAGAAAACCCATCTTTAAGCGCTTCTTCCAGCCTACTAAAGATCCTTACCACTAGCTTCCCTTGTTGATCCTTAGCAGCCCTTCCAGGAGTTTCATCTTTCTCCTCTCTTTCCATTTGCTGTGCTTTCATTTTCTTCCGTGCCTCCATTTCTCACTTCTCATTTGCCATGAAAAAAGTGTGAAAGAGTGAGAAGTGGAAAGGGAACAGTAAGGTTGGCATGAAATTCCAGACAGAATGTAACAAAGGAAAGTGGAGTGAGAGAATCCAGGGACACAAATAAGGAACACATCCACTGTTTGCCTTCTCACTTCCCAGTTAATAAAACAATCTAAACCATTGTGACAGGCCAGAGAATTGTATGGCAGTGTTTTCTTTCATAATGAATACCAAAGGACTGTGGGTTTATGTCTGGGGCTGTGGTTGTGTACATGTGTGGGTTTTAGCATCTTCATTAAACCTTTATTTTTACTATCAGAAACCCCTTCCACTCTTTTTGCACCATTGAAGAAGCAAATGCTGCAGTCATTTCAGTGTACAGTCCTTAACAGCAGCTATTGAAAACAGAACTACCTGAAGTCCCCTGCAGTGAATGACAGTAATAACCACTTCTTCTCCTCTTTGTTATTAGGTATATTGCACAAAGGCAATGGAGAAAATCAGTTTCTAACTCAGCAGCCAGCTGTGATAACCAGCATTATGGGGAATGGGCGCCGAAGAAGCATATCCTGTCCCAGCTGCAATGGTCTAGCAGAAGGAAATAAGCTTTTGGCCCCTGTAGCACTGGCAGTGGGTATTGATGGAAGTCTCTTTGTTGGAGATTTTAACTATATTCGGCGTATCTTCCCATCCAGGAATGTTACTAGTATATTGGAGCTGAGGTAAGGTGTTAACCTTATTGCTTCATTTCTGTAGCCTGTGCTCAAACCAGCCTTTGCCATTACTTTTTATAATTTTGTAAAACATTGTCACTTTCAACCTATTTAAATTCCAGTGGAGAAATGGGGCACAGAAATGCATAGTTCAAAGTCTGTAGTTTATCAGAGCAATAACTATAGAGAAGTTAGAGGAAAGGACAAACAGGCTTGTACAAAAAGAACAAACCATGTTCTTCTTTCTTGTTGGTGATCGTTTGATAACAATCTCCCCTCAGTACTATGCATCATTTAGTTTTGTTTGAAAACTGCAGAAATGACTGCCCTTAGGTATTGAGCCACAGAGATAAGCAAATTCAAACAGATTTACAAGGTTAGCAGGAAGGTTTTCTTGTCAATGGTTTTGACAGCCACTTTCCCACTGCTTTCCCATGCTTGTGAGTCTATTTCTGTACATTGCCTAGTGCAGTTAAGATTGACATACAGAGTCACTTTCATCATCAGAACTCCTTTTAAGATTGAACCTCTGTCCCCCCATCCTGCGCCCCCTCCCCAGCATTCAGATTTGGTCACTTAATAGGGAAGGCATGAGCATAGAGTGTACCACTTCACCCATTTCTGTTCCATCTCCTTTCTTCATTCTTACAGGAGAGGCAAGAGCTACTGCTTCAAACTGTAACTCATGTAACTGGACCTTATAGTTACAGCACTATTGAGTATTTGCAGAAAAATGAGAAAAAAATAGCTTATACTGGCTGTTTCCTGATACTTCTGCAGCCCACTCAGGCAATACAGTTAATTCTCTTGTAAATTGGATACAGCTGCAAAGTCCATAGAGTAAATTTAGGTCATTAGCCTTTTTCTAATGATATGGCCATAACCAGTTCCTCTCTTCCACTGTACTTTTAGTTTTTAATTAGTGGGAGAAAGTGCAAAATGATTGGACAGTGAGAGAATAGGAGGCCTAGCTCTATTCTACACCTCTCTTCCATTCATGTCATTCTGTTGATGTCACTATTGTGAATTCTGATTTTATACAACAAAAGAGTTCCAATTCAGGCCAATTCTACCCTGAAATCACTCTCTGACACCTACCTCATATACCATCAGGCTGCCTCATTAGATTTGAAACTCCAAAAAGTCATAGATCATGGCGTGCTTTCTGCTGGCAGCTCAGTATAAACCACAGGAGGGAGCTGGTATGGATGTGCGACCAGTTATAAATATTTATTTCAACGTACACTGTAGCTGTGCATTATAAGGTATATAATGCTGATTTTTTTTGTTTCTAATTTGTTCAGTTCATTTTAGCTTTCCAGTAAATAGGATCACAGCTTTATAGGTGAAGAGAAACAGTTTCAAATTTGGATAATTAATGTAAGGCTTTTACATGCACCTCACTTGCTAATATCAGCCAGAGAGTTTCCCAGGCCACCTGATACTTGGAAATGTTGTCTCCAAGTTTACAACAAACAGTAAAGTGTTTGTTGGGCTTTTCAAGAACTTGGGCTTTTCAGCATGTGTGAGGGAAAATCAGAACATCTGTAAAGAAACAGAAGATGGACTTCTTAATCCGCTTTTGTCCACTTTCTCTCTACTTTTAGGAAGGTCTGCTTTCCATAGCATAATTTCTTTAGCTTCTGTTGCAGCTATTAGTAATGAACAATAAAGCCATTGCGTTTTGAGTGCTATTGGACAGCTGCAAATAGCTTGACACACAGATTTTTAGCATTTGCAGTGGTATCTTTTGTCCCCTGATCCTCTAAAGGGAATTAAGGTCCCTTCCAGCAAACATCATCTATAGCAGCAGTCATGATTCAGAAGTAAACTTAAAATCTATATAAGTTACATGCGTAAGAGGTTGACAATTTGAGCTAAATAAGTAAGAATGAGACCAGTCTTCAGCTAGTATCAAGTAGCTTGAATAACGTTGCAAATAATATGTTCATAAGTATTAAATACCAAATACATCACTATTTAGATTTCCCAACGGGTGTACCAAATACATCACTATTTAGATTTCCCAACGGGTGTAATTTTGGTTTTACATAAGCCAGTATAAATCTTGAGTAACTTTGTAAGTCAGAACATCCCAGTGTGCGTATTTGCTTCGCACTGTCGTTTATGAAGATGCCTGCTCTGAGTAGCTAATAGGAATTTTGACTCAGGAGTGTTGCATGTCATGCTTCACGCTGGTATTGCAAGTTTGGAGCTGTGCATTGAGTGCTGCAGCTCGGGAGTTTTCATGCACCTCTTTGTTTCATTCCTTGGATGTTCCTAAATGGAAATGACTTAAACACAGTGAAACACTGTGGTGTGGGGAATGTATTAATTTACTTCCGGGAAGTAAAAGACACTTTTCCTTTGACTTCGTGTCTAGATGGTACAGATCCTTTAATGCTATTTATCGCCCATTGTACAGTATCTTACTGCTCACTTAGAAGGGTTGGTTTTTTTTACCCTCAGGTTTGCTTGATAGGCTTAAATAGATACCGAGTAGCATCCAAACTTGCTTTAAGCAATTATTCTAGGGACTGGGAGGAGAGGAAAGTATATTCTGTAGCAGAAATTTGTTTAGAAGTAGCCTGTTGGAAAACTATTTTGATTAAAGAGGTTGCCTCCAACTGGCAGGTGATGGCAGGTGATATCCTGAGCCCAGTGCTTCTCCCTCCCCCATTCTGTATTCAGAAAACTGCCAGTTTTTCTAGCTCCTAGCCCACAGGATACTCATATTTCCATGTGAGGAACTCTTTCAGGGGTCTAGAAAGTGTCCTGTAAAATATACGGGGGGTGGAGGTTGGGGGCAGAGAACCAGCTTGCAACTCTATCACTCCCAGTCGCTTTTCATCCGTAACCCAAGCAAAGGCTAGTGCTGAAAAGAGATATCTTCTCCTGTGTCCTTTTGTAAAATAAAACAAATACTATGTTTGCTTTACCATCTATTCTTCAGCTAACTGTTTGTTCTTTTTTCTTCTGTTCCCTTTCTATAAAGAAATAAAGAGTTTAAACATAGGTAAGACACGAGCTCTTTCCCATATAATTTGATATGGTTTGTTTGCTTCATTGTGTTTGCTTTTTGTGTTGTGCTTCTTGTGTAATGTTATGTTCTTCATGTACCATATATAGAAACATTTTTATGTGGTAATTGTGTGTTATGAATATGATAAGCGTTAGCAATTATGAAATGCAGTCAAAAAGCAACCAAATAAGTTCTGACAGTAATTAGAAATTTCTAGTAGAATGCCAGTATAATGAACCCCAAGATAACTTCTCTATAAGCACTTCTCCCTGCTGTCTGTAATTGGTCTAAATGGTTGAGGCAAACTACCAGAGCATTTTTACAAATGCCAGAAAGGTTCACAAAAGCACTAATGACTGCAGATAGGTCAAAAACTCATTTTCTGGTCATTAATGATTTTCTGAACCCTCTGTCCTTTCTCATAATTTAGTTTCTATTTTCTTTCATCAAATACATTTAACAGTCAGTCAACCTGTGGGGCTGGTTGTATGCAACCACTAGATGCAGTTGCTGTAAGATGCAGGAAGGAGGCAGAACCTGCCTGGACATTAGGAGAGGAGATTTTCATTGTCTCACCTGAGCACTAGGGCTTCTGATGGCAGCAGCATAGGAAACGCTTGTTCATCTTCCGGGACAGGGAGGATGTTCACCCTGGAGACTATCAAAGGCAAGAACAAGAAAGTATTCCATAGTGTCCTGTGCATCACCCTTTTAAAACCATATTTTCCATTTCTGTGACACAATTAGATACAAAGGATGGCCCAGATTAAACAGTATAATTTCCCCTTTACAATATATTTTGGTATAGCAAGTATACATTTTCACTAAATTTTCCTCTCTGGATGAATTAATTCATAATTTGCTGATGGTTTTTGGTGATGCTGAGGCTCCTCGTTTGCACTAACTCAGCTTAGTTATTTTTTTTTTTTAGATGCTTAGGGATTTGCTCTGGGCACTTCTCTTTTTGGTTGGATTGAAAGAAAAGCTGTCGTTAGGTTGTGAATTTGATGCACATTTGAGAAGAAAAGGGAGGACAAGCTGATCCTGCCTGTACCACATGCTGTCAAGCACTGGGCTCCCTCCCGGAACAGAGCAAGGCTGCCCAGTGGTATCTGCTGTAGTCACTGTGGAGGGCAAGAGGCAGAGCCATTATTGGCAGAAACCTCTGAGCAATACTGAAGGTTATGGGAAATCTTTTAAAACCAGGTACCTTCATTGGCTTCCTGTAATCTGAATAAAAGATTCCAGTGGCACGGAGAGAAGAGAGGCAGAGGTCTGTGGTTGCTCAGATGCTGGTTTGATAAATGTTTACTTCTCATTTAAAATGTATTGCTCTTTGAGGTAATAATCTCCCAGTTTCTTTGGGGACATGGTGAGTGCACGTCACCTTCCGCCAGTTGTTTTCTGCTAAAGTCCCTCAAATATTTTATGTGGAGAGTCATAGAATCCCAGAGTGGTTTGTGTTGGAAGGGACCTTAAGATCATTCAGTTCCAACCCCCTGCCACAGGCAGGGACACCTTCCACTCGACCAGGTTGCCCCAAGCCAGGGATGAAGCATTCTGCCGCTATCTGTTCCCTTACCGAGCCCAGGAAAGAGCAAAGGGGTATGCAGCAGATCTGCAGCTCCAGAGAGTTGCTCCCTGGTCTGGACTGACTCCCTGAGGGAGGTTCCAGGGGAGAAGGCAGGGTGAGCTCCACAGACACACCAATGACTGAAAGAGGAGAGGGACGTAACCCAGTGTTCTGCCATCGCTCTTTACCCTGACTTACACCTTACCCCATCCTGGTAGTAGCGGGCCATGCCTGAGGCTAGCTGTGGGCACAGGGAAGCAGGGCATGCTCACTCAGGAAGGCAGCACAGGCTGGCAAAATCATGTCTGAAGAGAAGAGACGCTTCCAGTGTGGCTCATGTCAGGAGCAGCGCGGCTCCTGCAGGCACTGCTGGCACAGCTCCCACCTATGGGACCGGCAGCGGTGTCTGCACCTAGTTCATACCTGCCCCGGGACTCCCCACCCAGCCAGGGTGGGTGCCTGTGTTTCAGCAGGGCCAGGCAAAGGGCACTCAGGGCCAGAGCCCAGAGCCTGCAGGTACAGCTGTCCCTTCTTGGCTCATCTGCTGCTGTTGCAAAGCCTCAAGCTGAGCTTGGGTGCATTTGTGAAGTGCTGCACAACACCAGTGTCCTAGCAGGGTTTGTTCAGTGTAAGGAGAGAGCATGTTGAAGAAGAATTTCTGTTCAAGGACCAATGTGCAGGTGTTTGAATGGCACAGGTACTTGAGAGACTGCAGAAACCTTGTGAGTGGAAAGAAATATCTTGTTAGGTGACAAAGAAGACTGAGCTTTGTTTGGGAGGGAGAAGAAGGATATAGTAAGGGCCTAGTGAAGAGGTGCAGTCTGCTGCTGAAGATAAGCAGAGGAACTTGGGGAATAAAGAGATTGTGCTCTAATCGCAAGCATGTCACTAGTCTCCCTGCATAACTTTGTCTACACCACTTAACCTCTCTGTGCCTCAGTTTCCTCCTCTGTAAAATGGGTGTAATACCCATCTTTTTCAAGTACTTTGAGATCCATGCATGAAATGAACCTGCCAAGTATTTTTTTGTTTGTTGTATTTTTTCATCTCTAATTTCTACACTCCTAGACTTCAGCAGATGGTACTACCTCTGCCAACTGAATGCTGGTCAAACCAAACTCCTTCCTCCTTCCTACAGCTTTACAGCTGTTACTGACCTAAAATCATGCCATGCCAAAGACTGGCATAGAGGAAAATAACTGTAGAAACTGATATTGCTGGACCTCCTCATTCCTCCTGATCTGGTCATGACCACATGAAAGCAGTTTTCTTTGTGGTGCTGATAAATCCATCTGCCAAAAGTGGCCTTATGATATTTCCAGCCAGTGTGACCTTGAAATGGCTTATGTCCGTCGTAACTTACCTCTGTGTATCCTCACTCTTGGAGATGGGCACTTTTGCCACATGAAGCTAGGAGTGTGGATATTTGGAGGCAAATATCTCTGGTTACTGGTAAGTAACCTTCATTTTTTTTTTCTTCTTGTCTTCATTTGTCTTCTATGCTTTGAAACCGCCATTGATCTTATTTACACTCATCCATAGGCTCCAAAGGCTGCAAAATTCACATCATGCTTAAAATCCAACTAAATTGAGTTAAACTAGCCAGGCAAGACTGAAAATATTTCTGCACTGCAGTTGTGTGTGTGTGAATGTACATATATGGCAAAGATTGACATTTCTCAATTTGCAGAAGATTTGCTAAAGTAGTTCCAAAACGTGACGAACTGTCAAAACCCCATATATTTCAGAAGAGAAGTAGGTTTCCATATGAGCGCCCATTCTAATCACAAACTGAGGACCAGTTTTTCAATAACAGAAGGTTTGGAGTTAAAGTCAGACACTTGGGGTCTCTGGTTTGAGCTATATAATCAACTTCATCTGCCGTAAATGAGATTCTTGATAAGAATGAATGAGAACAAATTTGCTTTAGGAATAAATTTGTTATGCCTCTGCCTCCTATTTATACAAGACCTCACAAATCTTGTGGCATAATATAAGTGACTCAGAAGCTGATTTTATGATCTTGCTCCCATGACTTCTGCTTTCAAGAGAAGTTAAACAAGGTGGCTGGGAGGAGGGCAGCAGGTAGAGGTAAGCTAAAGAGAATTCACCTGGAGCAGACCAAAAGGACAGAAGAGATCAAGAGGCAAGTCTGCTGTGCAGCTTTGGCTTATTGGGCTCTGCTGTGCAAGGTTTGGTGTAGGAGGATAAATGAGATTTGAAACGGCAATTCTTTAGCAACACTGACCAGGCTCTAATCACATTAGAGCTGCAGATGGTAATCCCTCAGACCCCACCTCGGTGTGAAGGTGTCAGACTTTCTTTCCAGATCTCTCTGTGCCTGATGAGTATCCAAGTTCTGAAGCCTGTGAAGTTTCTAGACTGCTCAGCTCTTTCTGTTCTATGCTTTCTTTTTCTCTAAAGCAACAATCCTGCTCATAAATACTATCTGGCCGTGGACCCTGTTTCAGGCTCACTGTATGTATCGGACACCAACAGTCGACGGATATACAGAGTCAAGTCCCTCTCTGGCATGAAAGACCTAGCTGGTAACTCTGAAGTGGTGGCAGGGACAGGAGAGCAATGCCTGCCCTTTGACGAAGCCAGATGTGGGGATGGAGGGAAGGCAGTGGACGCAACCCTCATGAGCCCTCGAGGTAAAGTAGGAAAAGAAGCTGGAGAAAATGACTGCGTGAGGCTGGGCTGGGTGTGGAAATAATTATCTGGCAATTAAATCACTCCTTGCTCAGTAGTTTTTATTCTGGGCTTTAATTACAGTGGATTGGCAAGTGTTCATGCTTTGTTTAGTTAAAGCAAACTTTATTACCCCAACAGTGAACACTGCGAAAGGAGAACAGAACACAAATTAGCAGGGTACCGCTCACTCCAAGAAGCAAGCATGTAAACTGGGGAACAAATCACTGCTTGAGATAGTCTTTGGGGAGAAAAACTGCCTGCTACGGCTTTTCATCTGAGTTTCTAGCCTGTGCATTCCCTTTTTCTTCAGAGGCAGAGAAAAAATAAAAGGATTTTTGCCCTTTCCAGTTTCTAATTTTTGAGAGAATGTTTTCAAGATGACAGAGATTTGGGGATTTGTTGCTAGGATTTTTTTCTTCCCATTGTTTCATGTTCATTGTAAGGATGAATTGATCAGGTGTACTGCCAGGTGCTACAAACTTCTTTGGGTTTTATTTCAATGGTTGAAAATAGATGATTGTAAAAGCAAATAAGAATGAAAGGTCCTATTTCTTTGTAGAGGTAATAGTTTCAGTTAATACATACAGAGCGTATTAACAGGACAGAGCTGTTTCCATGTTTGAAGGTAAGCCTCTATGTAGAAGTTGAGAAGATAAAGCTGTACCTGCTCTCACTGCCCAACAGGATGAGCACTGCAACCATTTGAAGACAGAATTTTTAGATCAATATTTTATTTTCAGCCCACAAAACGGACAAGGCAGCGCACCAAATCAAAGCAGGAAAGGCAAGAGAGAAAAAGCTTGCCCTCCTTACCACAGGCAGCAGCATCCTTCTGTTCCTCCAAGGGAGCACCTTTCATTCTGTGCCTTTCCTTTCTAAGGACTCCCAGTGTGACAGCCATTGAACCTTTCCTTTTTTCCTAGGCTGGAAACCCCTGTGTCTTCATCTGGAAACACCAGATATTCTTCCCATATTCCTTGCTGCAACAGGTCAAAGAATTAAAAAACAATCCTGAAAGACTGTAGTGTCCTCTTCATTTTTCTAAATCTTAAAGAAATTTAAAAAGATTTCTAAAAATTCCCAGATCCTTCAGATGAAGAAGCAACACCTCAAATTTCTGAGATTAAAACTGAGGGTTTGTTGGCTTTCATAGGGTTCACACAGTGCATCATACAGAGTTTGAATTTAGAAGGAAGAGGTTACATTCCACTGGCTCTTTGACATGTTGTGGGGATTCCTGTGGTTTGGTTTTCTTTAAAGCCCCAAGGGAGCAACCTGCTTGATGCCATTTATTCACCAGAACTACAGGTACTTGGAGGGATCCAGGACCTGTGCTCAGGTTGGAAAGGAGGAAAGAACAGGGGAAGCAAACAACTGTCACCATTTTGTAAAGCTGCCAACAAGATGAAGCCTGCCTTGAAGCCAGGAGCCTCACTGATGCCTGGTTTTTATATTTCAGGAATTGCAGTGGATAAATATGGTCTCATGTATTTTGTTGATGCCACTATGATTAGAAAAGTGGATCAGAATGGAATTATATCAACCCTGCTGGGCTCCAATGACCTAACTGCTGTTCGACCACTCAGCTGTGATTCCAGCATGGATGTCTCCCAGGTATCTTAGTGCATTTATTTTCTTCTCTGCCTTAGAAGAGATGGGCATCTATTTTGGATGACTGCCTGGCCACTTAAGAAATACATTATGCAGCACAAGATGGTAGTATTTTTGATTCATTACTGAAATGAGTGAACCATCCTTTTACTGTGGCTAACACAGGTTATTTATGCAACTGTAGTGAGATAAGGTTGAGATAATGGGAGTTATTGTCTTAATTGCCTGTTTTTCTGTAATTATTGTAGAGCTTCCACAATGTAGCATTCATTCTTTGCACAGAAACACAATTAGCCAAAGTTACCACTGCACGTAGCTTTAATATTGCTGAAAAACAAAAGCATTGTTTGAAATAGTTGCCGTTCATGACTTGGTTTCATGATTACGCTGATAAACCCCTCACTAATTTGCTGTTGTTACACATGGAATTTTAAACACTAGAAGTGTACTTTTCAGTTATGAGTTTTACAGTAATAATTTGTGCAACTCATAGGTACGGCTGGAGTGGCCTACTGATCTCGCTGTCAATCCCATGGACAACTCACTTTATGTCTTAGAGAACAATGTTATTTTACGGATCACAGAAAATCATCAAGTTAGCATTATTGCTGGACGCCCCATGCACTGCCAGGTTCCTGGTATAGACTACTCTCTTAGCAAACTGGCTATTCACTCTGCACTTGAATCAGCCAGTGCCATTGCCATCTCACACACAGGAGTTCTTTACATCAGTGAGACAGACGAAAAAAAAATTAATCGGCTACGCCAGGTAACTACCAATGGAGAAATATGCCTTCTTGCAGGGGCAGCTTCAGACTGTGATTGCAAAAATGATGTCAACTGTAATTGCTATTCTGGGGATGATGGGTATGCCACTGATGCCATCTTAAATTCACCATCTTCCTTAGCTGTGGCCCCAGATGGTACCATCTACATAGCTGATCTTGGAAACATCCGCATTAGGGCTGTCAGTAAAAACAGGCCCATTCTTAATTCTTTTAACCAATATGAAGCTGCATCTCCAGGAGAACAGGAGCTGTATGTCTTCAATGCTGATGGGATTCACCAGTACACTCTCAGCCTTGTTACCGGGGAGTACTTGTACAATTTCACCTATAGCAGCGATAACGATGTCACGGAGGTGATGGACAACAATGGCAACTCCCTGAAGGTCCGTCGGGATGCCAGTGGGATGCCCCGCCATTTACTGATGCCGGATAATCAGATTGTCACGCTGGCTGTTGGCACTAATGGTGGACTCAAGCTAGTCTCAACACAGACCCTGGAGCTCGGATTAATGACATATAACGGAAACAGTGGTCTCTTAGCAACGAAGAGTGATGAAACAGGATGGACAACATTTTATGAGTAAGAATGTTTTTGGCTCTATTAAGCGTACATTTATTTTTCAAATGGTAGCGAGTAGGCCCTGAACTGACCCTACAGAAATCTGTTGTAGGCTTTTCACTGATGCTGAATAAGGCCATGATGACTCAATCTAGTTTGATGCTGAAAATGATTAAGTGGCTTCTTGATTTCATCAGTTTTTGTCAGGTCCCTTGGGTGGGTACCAGACCTGCAGTATGAGGCTTGTGGGGACTCTCACCCACTTCCAGCACAAAGGACTGTGTGCCACCTTCAGAAACCCATGTTTGATTTACGAGACTGGGCCCCTGCTCTTAGTCATTATCAAGGCTGTAGATAACTGGCACTCAGACCAGCCCCCAGCAACCCACAGCTCCTACTGCTCCTAGGAACCCTAATGCTGCAGGTTCTTTTGGAGCTCAAGCTAGATACCTGCTGTTCAGACTCATATATTACTCGTGGTTGTTAAAATGTTGATTAACTTCAGTGATTGTTCATTCTTGAGGCAAGCGCGGAGATTAGATCCCCAGCTAGCTGCCAGAACCCCAGTGTAACTTTGTAGATAGCCTGGAAGCACACTGGTGTTGGTGACCATATGGATTAGAAAACAGAACTTCCTCTTTAAATGCAATTCATCAGAGATCAAGTTCAAGAGTATATTAAAAATCTAGAAAAAACAGTCACATTTATTAATAGTTACCCTGTTCTTACTAGTCCTATTGCCGTGTATTGATCAAAACAACTTTAAAAATAGAAACAAAACCATATATTGAAAATATATATATAATCTTTAAGTACATCGAGTCCGATGCCATAGTTAATTAACCATTGCTAAATACCATTGCTCAAATTAGTGGGTAGAAAGCATGAATAGGGCTTTATATTTAATTTTAAATTGGAAGCTCATTTTTAAGGCTACAGACCAGCACTGACGCACACGTAGTTTAGTTTACTAATGGATTCATCTTTTTTTAGAGGAAACGTAAGTAATGCAGGAATAAAAAGAACCTCAGAATGTATCTAAATCAGCGCGGTACATCAGTGTTGTGTCCAGCGCGTTTTGTTCCCGTAGAAAGGAAAGCAGTGCCCTCTCGTGGTCCCCTCCTGATGCGGCCCTGGAATTTCAAGCACTGATTTTTCCGTCGCTGAGTAGATACGTGGAGGGTTTTTCTCCTTAATATTGTGTATAGAGTATTTCTTTACCACACCTCAATTAGAAAAATAACCCAGAAATGTGAACACAGAAAGGATTTAGCTGCTGATTGCAAGATCAGGAAAAACCTCTCTGTACTGGACCATGGAAAAATCTCACATCATTGCTGATGAGATGTTGATGCCCTTCTAGGTGGGATTTTTGTTGTTGCTTTTTCTTCAGTAGCTAGGCCAAGTGTCAGATCAGAAGTCACATAGACTAGCTATTTCTCAAAATACCAGTAATTAATTGTAGCAAAGGAAATGGCAGTGTATCTTCAAACTCTATCTGAAAACAATGAAACATTAAAAAACACCATCAGAAGGTTACAAGTTACCAAACTGGTGTAACTGGTGGCTGAGAATTACACGAAGTACTAAGCTAGCATGATTTATTAGAAGAATTGTGCTCTGATCGCTAAGGAAGTGTAGAAGGTGGGTGCTTTGATGTCTTACTGAAGTACAGCTGAAAATATAATTTAATGTGTTTATAGTGCTGACATGTTGACTAGATTCTTTTCCAAGATCAAGTAAGAAAAGATGTTTGACCCTTGCCTAGGTCAGAGAAAGTTAAGCACCATACTTGGGTCTAAGGGATACACCTGAGGTACTGCCTTAGGTGATGACTGGCATTGATGTGGCAGTGGAAATAACTTCCTTTCTGCCAGATTTGTACATATATTCTCATAAGCATAGAGCCCATAGATGAGAGGATAGTAGAATCCTTTGTGCATTAAAAGAAGAAAAGACATAATATGCCATTCATGAACCTGTTAAAAGTAGATATGTATCTCTGTATGTGAATGGAAAACCCTATGCAAGGACAAGAAGTTAGCTATATGCACTGGAGATACTCATTACAGAAAAACAGAGGCATGTCCTTCAGGCTGATCCTAAGCAGCTGACTTAGAGTAATTCTGTCATATGTCATATGTCATGTACCCCCACAGTTGAGGGGTTTATTAATAAAATTATGAGAATTATTTAAATCAAATTAAAAAATCTAAATAGTCACAGTCCACAGCCACTTAATTCTGGTTTCTGTTTTTTCATCAAAGTAGCTCCAAGGGGAAAATTCTATGTTCATCACTATGCAATTTATTTTGGTAGGTATAAGTTACTATCAATAGAAGATGAAAGAAATACTTGGCCAGTTGAGAGTTTATAAGGACAACAAAATAGTTTTCTGTGCCATTGCATTCATGCATTCATACAGAGATAATCAATACCCCAGATACAGCCAAAGAACTGGAAAAGAATAAATGTTTTTTGAATACTAAAATACCACATAAATGAAAGTTCTTATGAAAAATGTACTTTGGTGTATTTATATCAACCAGACACTGAAGTGCTGTGCTATCTTATTGGGTTCTTTCTTTTTTTAATCTGAAGCTGTACCCTGAAAATGCTCACATAATTGAATTCATGGAGTATATCCAGGTATGCATTGAATATGTGGAGAAATGCATACACTAACTGGTTTTATATATGTGCATACACACTCATGCATGTATTATACATATAGTGCATGTGTATATGCACGCAGTTCATCTGCAGTAGGAACAGGCAAGGCTGTTAAATAATGTAACAGCTATCAGCAGGCTCACATAGGGTAATTTAAGCTTGATTTTGGGCATGAAGCACATATATTTGAAGTGATTCTCAGTGGTATTCCACTTAGTTTTGGGAACATCCTAAGAGAGTGCTGCAGTTTTCTTCTTGAGTCAGCTTGGGGTTTATAAGGGAGAGAAAATAGGGATGTATGTAAATGCATGTGATCCGCACCTTGGCCTGCTCTATGTTAAGTCAAAACTGCTGTTACTCCTTTCTGCAGTACTGTATAAAGCACTGTCCTGGCTACTCCCACCTACAAGCTGTCCAGCTGTACACATCCCAGACCTCAAAGGTTGCCAACAGTAAAAATTGCCTAAGATACAGAGGTGCCATAATACTGGCCTTGGGTGCACTGTCACAAACCTGCTGAGGGATGTGCGGGTCGGGTATCTGTAGCTCTGTGAGGAGGTGATGCATAAGTGCTCAGCGTGTCTTGCGGTTGACCTGTAGCCGTGCCTGGTGGCCTGGCACACAGCGGCTGCTGAAGCTGGCTCCGAGCCGCCGGGCTCCCAGGCACTGTCTCCGGGCTGCAGGCACCATCAGCCAACAGCTCCCGTGTCTGCCCGGGTGCCAGTGGCTGGTGTCACCCAGAGCTGCCCTGGCAGCCATGGTCCTGGAAACCTTGGCCTGCTTGGGCAGACTTGGTTGCAGTTAGCAAAGTGTTGGCAGGTTAGTGGTGGGCACGGGGGAGATCTTTGAAGATACTGGGCTTAAGAAAGGATCTGTCCCCTTGTGATTTTATTAGTAGAAAAACTCAGGATGAAACCTTCCTCTAACTGAAGCTCAGGAATTTCAGTGTATCCAGAACCCACCTCATCTGAAAATATAAAGGTCACCTTACCAGATCTGATTCAGCTAGCCTGATGCTGTGTCATACACTTTGACATGTAGTGGCTGCTTCTGAAGAAGATACCAGAAGCCCCAGGTCCATTAGTATATTTTCCATTGCAATTTTTTTTTGTTTACTTCATTAGACCCAGGTTCATGTCATAAAGAAATGCATACATATCATATATGGTTTATAGCCATTAAATTCCCATATAGCTTTATTCTCATTATTCAGTTAAACGTCTGGGTGTTGGGTTCTACTAAGCACTTGCTCTCACAAAATACATAAATTAAAAGAAAGCCTCAGTAATATGTCACTTTAAATTTTGTGGTACAGAAAAGGTTTTGGTTTCATTCATTTTAAAGTTTTTACCTTAAACTTATGTTTTTTAAGCAGGATTTTATTGATGCCATGGATAAAGTAAAAAAGCCTTCATTATACATTGTTATTGCAGTGTGTATATAGAGTTTTAAGTAGTGGATTATGTCTAAATCGCTTAATATATCATTTAAGTAGTGAATATATCTGCTATTAAGCCAAGTGGTCTGCAGACCTTCCTAGAGAGCACTTGTTTAAGCGGGTCCAGCACTTGCTTATAAACCTTTTAATCTCTGCCATTGTGGAATTCAAATATTATGCCCAGCCCTGGGGAACATGCCCCATGGTGGGGGCAAACCACTGACTTCTGGAAGCAGCATCAGAATATTGCAATGTTCCTGTTTCAGGCTCTGCACATCCTCATCCATATTTACTTTCTAGACTGCCCTTGCACTTTGAACAGAGATTTCCAGTGAGTAGCCCACAGCAATCCCCAGGAAGTTTTCCTGGGTTAATTAAAAACCCAGCAATGTGAATGAGGAGTTTAAATGAAGGTCTCATTTGCATTGCCTAAAATATATTTGCTGATGGGGAATTTCAGCCTCCATTTTGGTGGATGTTCACCAAGCTCTGCATAGTCACGCTGAAGCACTCACGGCCCTTTGCTAGTTTTTCCTAAATAACATTGTCTCTTCTGTAGTATTTGACATCTAAGTATTCTCTTCACCACTCTGCTAAGCACTAAGCATATCCAAGTATCCATATACAGACTATTATGGTATATCCCATTTTTGAAACTCTCCAATTTTTGTCCTTTTTGGTTTTCCTTGCTAGACTGGATCAAATTCTTCCCTAGTCCTTATTTTACAAGTGCTTTCAGCAGTTTTTGATAAAGACTCTTACACAAACTTAACCAAACGCCCTTCCTAGATTTTCTCAACATTTTATCTCTTATCTAGTATGTTGTCTATATGGTAAATAATACCAACTATATAAATACATATATATACATATATGTGGATATAAACTTGTGACTTTTATTAAGAAAAGTCATGCTGCTTAATCTTTTATTTGATCCTGAACTGCTTAATTAAACACAATATATTATTGTTCCCTTTTAGGTTGCATGATGCTTTGTTTTATTGATTTACTTCTTTGCCTAACACTTCCAGGGGTTCTGGTAAGGCTTGTTGCTCCACAGGTGATTTTTTTCCTTCCTCCTCAATATTCAGTTGCATGGGTGCAACCATTTGCAATGGATTTGAAAGGCATACTTGATATGGGTATTAACTGAGAAGCCAATTTGGGTATTCATTTTGAGATACTTTGAGGTTTCTGAATGATGTCATTGTAAAGTCATGTTGAAAGCACTGATTCTTCTTCATCTTTACAGCTAACCACGACGTACAAAGAACTCAGCTAGCTCCATGGTACTAAATGTGCTCCTCTTCTCTTCTGTTACTCTCAGGCAGTGCAATGGATTTACCAGTTCTCTTCCAGGCTCCTCGCACCCTGGATTTCTACGTTCCAAGGATGACCAGTTGGTTTCAATCTCTACCTAAACTTTTCCCTTTAACTACACAGGACATTTTTTCTTGCCTTTCTGCTTCTCAGAAGTATGTGCACTTTGGTAGCAGCTGGGTGAGAGACTCTTGCACAAGTAGAGATTGCATCAAGCAGAGTGTCAGACTGCAATACTGATTTTGTTTCAGGTCCCTATTTCTTGCCCTTAAGATCCAAGGGATTGCTTCTTTAGCACACAAATACAGCATTCTAAGGGAAAGGGAGAAACATACCATTCGATTTCAGGCAGCATTCTTTCTTTCCCCCTCCTCAGGTTTTATACCTCTAAATAAATTTAACTCAATGATCTCATGGAGAGCCCTTTTTCTTGTATTTTTTTTTTTATCTCTATGCCTCTGGAGCACTTAACTCATCTTCTCAGGTATATTCTGAGTGCTGACTGCTGCCCTTTGTGCAACTCCACCTTATCCTGTGCTTTAACGTCTCATCATCCATCATTATGAGCCAAAATACTGACCCCAAAATGCTGTTCAATACCACAGATAAGATCTAAATTAAACCCTTACGTTCTCAAGCTGATGTCCTTTTTAATCTCTTTTAACAAGTTTATTCCTTGATATGTCAGTTAAGACCTCACATAGTAGTTTCCACTAAATATTCAATTGCAAACATGCAGTCAATGCAATTGTATATTGTAGTATCCATCGTAAGCCCACTTCCTTAGAGTGAAATGCTACCATTAAAATTCAAATGAATTTACTCATTAGAATTGTTTGAGCTGAATATCGCTCTATATATCGTAATAATTTAATTATGACATTTGTGTAGTTGAGATCAGTATCACTAAAAATTATTATTTAATCATTTTAGACTCTTTCAAGAACAGAGCAATAGGTATGGCCAGGATGTTCTTGAAAACCTGTTTCATTCTGGGGTTTTTTGCACAAATGTGGTGCATTAGTAATACATTGGGTATTGAAATGAACATATATCCTCACGCTTTTTGCTCTCACTAACTTTTCTATTAGCTATGATCATGAAGGGCGTCTGACCAATGTAACACGTCCCACTGGAGTGGTAACTAGCCTTCATCGAGAGATGGAAAAGTCTATTACCATCGACATTGAGAATTCTAATCGGGATGACGATGTCACGGTCATCACAAATCTCTCCTCTGTGGAGGCTTCCTATACAGTTGTTCAAGGTACCAAAGCACACTTCTCAGCACATCTCCTAACCACACACACCACTTGAGAAAGCAATTTGCAAAATATTTGTGTCATTAGGACAGTTATGAGCAGGGGAAAAATGTAACAAGTTTGCAAGAAAAACTCCCCTAAAGCTCATTCCTAAAATAGCAGGTCTGCAGGACAGGTAAGAGACATTTCACAATCATGCTTTGTGTCAACTATGTCTGGTTGTTATCTGCTGGTGTCAGGCCTGCTATTGCCTCTTGGGTTAGGATCACTTTACCCACTCAGATATTTCTTTGTATTTCACTGCAAAATTGGTTCTGACTTTGGTGCCACAGAGATGCACGGTGACTGCCGAGTGTCAGCTGCCTGGGGAGAGATCCTTGTGGAGAGACAGGCTCCGGTGGCCTCCTACTATTAGACATGGAACCTGCCAAATTTATAAACTACCATTAAAGAAAATTCAAAACAATCAGGGTGGTGGATGCTCTTGACCCATGGTTAGCACTTCTGAGAACAGTGTTACAGCCCAAGTGTGGCAGGAGAGAGCAGCAACAAAGTGGTGAATGCTTGCTTAACGCTTTCCAGCACCGCCCCAGCATTGGTTCCCATGAAGTGAAAACAGTCAGTTATCAAAGACTGAGAGGAGTTTGGTGGGTGATGGGTGTTTCTAAGTAAGATATAATGTCACTGGAATGAGAGTATCATCGTCGAGCAGTAGTCTTCTCCTGACATAAATGTCAGCAGTTATAGACTATTATACCGTCACATGCCTAGTTACAAAGACTATTTCTCTTATACCAGATGATTAATTATGTAGATGTTGTCCTTCTGTCAGACAAACGTTGGTGCTGTGGTGACAGTTGCACACCGTAGCGCTCCGTCCTGGCGGAGAATGGACTTGGCTGTGTCAAAGAGCTGGAGAACTGCATGGCCAGAGCAGTATGGGGCCAAAAGGCCGGTTGTGCTGCTGGTAGGGTGGCAGGACAGCAGGCAGGGAAGGGACTCCCAGCTTGCATTGCTGGAGCCTCACACCTGGAGGATTTAAAGTCAAACACTGTAAAAGTCCTTCCTTGGAGACAATTTTTAAGCAGAGGGAAAGAAAAACAAGAGTCACTTACTTCTTCCCACTCCTAGAGTCCAGCAGTCTTCTTCTTTTACCCCTTTCTGTCCTGGAGTTTGATGGTTTGTTATTCATCCACCAGTTCAGTTTTCGGGAGTTTTTGTTCATATTAGAAATAAATTACGTTGTTGAAAGCATATCACTGTGCATTTTGATTCACAATTAAAACTACAGGGAAAACCTAATGAAATAAACACAGTATCTCTCTGCAGGCTCACTGTTGCACTACTGTTCTTTACATGAATCAGTAACATCTGTAATTTCCACCATAGTACCACGTAAATGGTAATTGCAGGCTGACTTCATTTAACATCAACAGGAGTGCAATAAAAACCCAATCAAATTAAGCTATATGTTTTCTTTATGACTGGAGTAGCTAAATTATTTTCTTTTCATTATTGCTGTAGATCAAGTGAGGAACAGCTACCAGCTCTGTAATAATGGTACTTTGAGAGTGATGTATGCCAATGGCATGAGCATTAGCTTTCACAGCGAACCTCATGTCCTGGCTGGGACTGTGACTCCCACCATAGGACGATGTAATATTTCTCTACCAATGGAAAATGGTTTAAACTCAATTGAATGGCGTCTGAGGAAGGAACAGATTAAAGGCAAAGTGACTGTGTTTGGAAGAAAGCTCAGGGTAAGTAGAATCTGTCATTACAATAATGATCTTTTCCTCTGTGGGCAGAACATTAATTTTCTTTTTGAAGGACATCTTTCCTATTTTTACTTGTTTAAAATCCACAACTCTAGGATTTTTTTAATATGGCAATATTTTCTGTATTGGAGAGGTCAGTTAACTGCTTGGGACTGTGTGCTACAATCAGCTGTAGAAGCTTCATTACTAAAAGTATTCTAAAAGAGGTTGGTAAAGATATCCAGAACATTGGTGCAAGGCACTCTGCTTCTGAAGGTGGGGGAAAAAACCAATCCAACCACTCAGCATTTGTAAAACTGCTACAGCACACTCACCACAGCTAGTCCTGGGCAGGAAGCACAATTGCAGCATGAGCAGTTACATTCTGCTTGTGTAGAATCTGCCTGCAGATTCATTGAGACAGGCATATTGTGTTTATTCCCCTTCCCAAATGGCATGATTGGAAAATAATTGCCATAATTATGAAGTCATAAGCATAGGATGAGAAAGACACTCAGGTCATGTAATCCATCCCCTGCCAAATTAAAAATGTGCTGCAGCTGGGTTAATCCCATTCTGTGCTTAGCTGGCCTGGTTTTCACCCCTTGAGTACCTAAACTTTCACTGGCTGCTTCAGTATAGACAGCTTTGGTAGGGCTTTGAGATACTTGGGCAGCGAACAAGTGCAGTGCTAATCAAGCCCTGGTTCTTTTCAGAGATACAGTTCTGTGTGTTCAAGATGATGTACTAAATGCAATTTCTGTAAACAATTATGTAGCAATTCACAAAAACTATTATGAATCAGATGTTACATTTTGGTATTTTTCTGTTGCTTAACATCTAATTCCCAGTGTTGAATTAACAAGACTTTTCTTTTCTTGTAAATGCTCAGAATGCACCTACTGGGGAGAGGGGGGAAGGTTAGACAAAAAAGGAATGAGATTAGCAGCTAATCCTTAATGACTAAATTTCATGGCTATGTAATTGATTGTGATGTGTTGACCTGCAGAAGTTGATTAGAAGTAGAAACCAGATGAGCACTGCATTTTGACTAGGTGTTCAAAACAAAATTGTGGTAATCCTAACTCTCAATGCTAGAAATGTAATAACTGTGGTAATCAGCTGAAGTTGAACACATCTTAGAGCTGAAACCTTGCCGGAGATGGGGTTTCTTGCATCATGTTTATGCAAATCAAAACACTGCTTTATCTAGCAACACCTCAACATTTAATTGTCTGGGTTTAGTTCCTGCAACAATAATCACATACCCATTTAGCTCTTTTAAATGAAAATCACGATGAGATTATAACAGGTTGAGTGGACGGAAAATGAAATTTGAAAATGAGGGGGAAAGCACAGAATTTATTTGCATCTCATTTACTCTAATTCATCTTTGTAAATTGTTTATTGAATGAAATGGAGCACGTGTGTGTGATCACTGGGGGAGCAGGTGGCAGCAGGGTTGGCTGTGGCAGCTGGGACAGATGTGGCATATAGTGGTACAGGATGGGCCACTGCAGGACTAACACAGGAATGACCAGGCAGGGAGTGTGTGGACCCAAATCTTGAATCCCCAGTGCAGAATCAGCTATTGCTGAAAGGGATTTTTCTGACATGGGAGTCGCCTCTCGGTAGAGCCAATACCGCTTTCTTTCAATACTTAAAGGGGATCTATAAGTAAGAGGGTGTCAGACTTTTTAGTAGGGCAGTAGGACAAGGGGTAATGGCTTTAAACTAAAAGAGATTTAAATTAAAAGAGATATAGACCAGATGTAATGAAGAATTTTTTTTACAATGAGGTTGGTGAAACACTGGCACAGGGTGCCCAGAGAAGCTGTGGCTGCCCCATCCCTCGCAGTGTTCAAGGCCAGGTTGGATGGGGCTTGAAGCAACTTGGTCTAGGGGAAGGTGTCTCTGCTCATTGCAGGGCCATGGGTTGGACTAGATGACCTTTAAAGGTCCCTTCCAACCCAAACTAGTCAATGATTCTGTGATTCTCCAGGTAGAGCTGCCTCCTGTGCCCCCAGCTGTGCTCATCGTGCTGTAGGCACATCCCAGCTGTACATGTTGGCCTCTGAGACACGCTGGGCCGGCTTCATTAAGCCAGGAAAGGAAGACCTGCCCTTCACCTCTGAGTTCTCTCTCTTACTGTCCACTACTCTCCTATGCACCACACGTCCAGTGTGTTGCAGTAGTTTCAGATAAAGTATTGAAGATTCCCTTCTGAAGAGTTTTTCTTACAGTGCAGCTTCACATAAGTGATTTTTGTTGCCAGACCTTTACCCAAGGCACAAAGGGCTCATCCCTATGGCCACTTGTTCAGCAGCAGCCAAGGGAGAAACCAGATGTGCACGTAGGTAGTGGAACAAAAGAAACAGAACTTGTTAGGTGATCTTCAGTCATGGGAGTTATTCATTCAATTTGGGTTACTATATAATTAATATGACATTACAATTACACTCTCTGGTTTTACCTATTCTAACAAATTAAAATGAAGTTGCTGAATTATTCAAGCAGGTGCTGCTTTATTCTCCAAGTGATGTTTGTGTGTATAGCTCTTGTCTGGGTAACCATTAAAAAAAAACCTAGTACTCCAGTTTTCTATGGCAAAAAAATTAATAACTTTTATAATGTTGTTGAGAAAAGGGAGGATACCTGGAGTCAGACTTTCCTCCATACAGATTACAGTTGCAGTTACTGTAATGGAGGGAAGAAACCCCAGAAATCACAAAACAAAACCAAATAAAAACATAAAAGCTAAAATTCAGTTCCTAATCTTTTTGGAAGGCCTTGAGCTCTGTGAAGGAAAGGGTTTTCATATGGCTCTGTCATCAGGATTAATCCTACACTTATAGAACTAGTGTAACCAGTTGAGAAAGTTCTGCTATTCAGTTTGGCTTCCCTGGGTTTGTTTCCATTACAGTGGGAGAGCAGAATAAGGTTTATTTGGCCAAGATGTTTTATAAGAAATGCCCTCTCTTTTCTTTGAATTACAGGAGAAATTTTTGCTGGGATAACCTTTGGGAAAACCTACAGGAAAGAGCTTTTTCTAATAATTGCCCATGGAGTAGACATAAACTGTTAGAGCTAAGTCTTATTAATGGGAAAAATTAGGATAATGAGTAATAATTTGAAATAATTATTTCTTTACAAACACAAAATTGTATTCCTTTTAAATTTGCTTTCTGTGTAAGTGAATTCCTGCAGAGTTGGGTGAGATGGGAATTGGGTTCACCCCTGGCAGGGAAAATCTCTCAGAATAACTTTTATGTCCTCGAGAAAGGCCCAGGGTTAATTTACATATTGTTTGATGTGCAGTTTAATTCTGGCTAAGAGAAAACGTGGCCTAATCAAAGCTGCTGCAAAGAACAAATTCCCACAAACTGATGAATACTTTTTAAATAGTCGTTGCTCTCAAATTATATCTAATTTAAAGACTTCTACTTTATTAATGATGCATCTACAATTAAATTACTTAAAAAGACTTTATCAGATTACAGCATTAGCCTGAATTCTGTGGCGTAGTCTGCAGTGAATATATTTATGTACCTCTTACAGCACTCTCACTAGCAGCCTCTCCATTTGGCATTCTTGTGCTCCTTTGTTTCTGTTTTGCTCTATTAAAAACCAAACCCAAAAAAATCTGGGCCCAAAACACTTCGTATTATACTTCAATTTGAAAATTGTAACTGAAAAAAAAATGAAAAAGAAAAAAAAGCATTTAACCTAATTATTTAGTTTGTTTCCCAAAACTAAGTCCATCTTTCCCAGCCTGTATGAGCAGAATCTTTAATCAGAAGAAATGAAACCCATCCCAAGTGACTGGATTGATGAGGGGTCTATGGACTATTCGGAAAGCAAATGAAGAAAACAGTAAATGAATGAATTCATAAGCAGCTGTGTTGCAGCTACAGAGCCTACATGGCTAAACCTCAGTGAAGACATGAAATCATAATTTCTTCTGTTCTTGGAGTCATAGTAGGGAAAGAGGTTAAGATCCACTGATGGCAGAAATAGAAAAGCTGCTTCTATGTAAAAGAAGTTGTTTCTCTGCCGAGTGCTAGCACTGCACTTTGGGACCCAGGTGTGCAGTATGTCTCTCTGTTTTGACAACAAGAGAAGCCCCTTGCTGTAAGATGACAGCTCCCATGTTGCAGGGAGATGGAGAATATCCCAGTGAAACACCTGAACTTATATATTTGAATATCCAAGAACTTGAAAGCAGAAGCCAGTTAATAGGAAGAGATGCTACACTTCTCTAAACTGTGGGGAAACTGAGGTCTCTAGTGTGCATGCCATTTGCATCCATAGGGGCTAGTGGCACTGCTGACTGAACGCAGCCTCCGTTCCCTCCATAGGTGCACGGAAGGAATTTGCTGTCCATTGACTACGACCGAAACATACGCACAGAGAAAATCTATGATGATCACCGGAAGTTCACCCTGCGGATCATCTATGACCAGCTCGGGCGCCCGTTCCTCTGGCTGCCCAGCAGCGGCCTGGCTGCTGTCAATGTCTCCTACTTCTTCAATGGGCGCCTGGCTGGGCTGCAGCGTGGAGCCATGAGCGAGAGAACAGACCTGGATAAGCAAGGCAGGATCGTATCGCGCATGTTTGCCGATGGGAAGGTTTGGAGCTACACCTATCTAGAAAAAGTAAGTGATGTTGTTTGACCTGCTGACAGCAGCTACAAAGAGACAAAGTGCTACTCGGCTTCATTTTAAGTCCTGTATGTAATATACACACACACACACACACACACACACACAGATTATCTACAATTTGACATGTTCTAGCTGTAAAGAATCCCTCTATACCTGGTCTCAAAATTCCATATTTTTCAATTAGTCAACTAATTTGACTAATGTTTAATGGTAAATACATTGTTCATGGATTGTGTCTTTTGATATGTTCCTGGAAGCAGCTGGCTGCCATATAATAGCATAAACTGAACACACTGAATTGCCCTTAATGAAGACCAAAAACACATCACTAAACCTGACAAAAGGTTCAGGTAGAAACAGGTAATTCATCTGTAATTATTTTTTAAATGAAAATATGGTAAAGCATTTTTACTTAGCCCAACTAAGACACTTCAATCATAAGTGCCTTAAATACTTCAAAATTGCGTATTCATTCCCTTCTTTGAACCTGTTGTTTTAAGCAAACCAGAGCAAATATTCTCTGCTTTTTGTCACACATATTTCACAGTAATAGTTGTGAATTACAACTGCTAGTGGCAAAGTAAATCAAGTAATTTATCTAACACCTCTGCATCCCTCAGAAAAAATGAAAACAAAAAGGTCCTACTAGTGGGAGGGCAGCTAATAGATTTCTAACCTGCACTTTCCTGGAGTGTCAGCATGTTGATTTCCAAGTAGCACATCCTGCCATCTAGCAATCTGACAATATTCTTGCACAGCTTTATGCCCCTAACTGATGCATGTCATTCTCTTTTGATTGATTTAACACTAGTGCCTTCTCAGTAAACTTTCCTTTACTGCCCTGAGAGGTCACATGCTGAAAGCTGGTTACTGTGTATTAATTTTCTCCCTACAGTCGATGGTACTACTGCTTCAGAGTCAACGCCAGTACATCTTTGAGTATGATTCTTCAGACCGCCTTCATGCTGTCACCATGCCCAGCGTTGCTCGGCACAGCATGTCAACTCACACCTCCATTGGCTACATTAGAAACATTTATAACCCTCCTGAAAGCAATGCATCAGTGATTTTTGATTACAGTGATGATGGGAGGATTCTGAAAACATCATTTTTAGGCACTGGGCGACAAGTCTTCTACAAGTATGGAAAGCTATCCAAGTTATCTGAAATTGTTTATGACAGCACTGCAGTTACTTTTGGGTATGATGAAACTACAGGTGTCCTAAAAATGGTGAATCTGCAAAGTGGAGGATTTTCTTGTACAATCCGTTATCGTAAAATTGGTCCTCTCGTTGACAAACAGATCTACAGGTTCTCTGAAGAGGGTATGGTCAATGCAAGGTTTGATTATACCTATCACGATAATAGCTTTCGAATCGCAAGCATCAAGCCTATAATAAGCGAGACGCCTCTTCCAGTTGATCTTTACCGTTACGATGAGATTTCTGGCAAAGTAGAGCATTTTGGCAAGTTTGGAGTTATTTATTATGATATAAATCAAATTATTACTACAGCAGTTATGACACTGAGTAAGCACTTTGATACCCATGGGCGCATTAAGGAAGTTCAGTATGAAATGTTCCGATCTCTTATGTACTGGATGACTGTCCAATATGACAGCATGGGAAGGGTAACTAAGAGAGAACTGAAACTTGGTCCATATGCCAACACCACCAAGTATACCTATGACTATGATGGAGATGGGCAACTGCAAAGTGTAGCAGTAAATGACAGGCCAACCTGGCGTTACAGTTATGATCTGAATGGAAACCTTCATCTACTGAATCCTGGAAATAGTGTCAGACTGATGCCTCTGCGCTATGACCTGAGAGACAGGATTACACGCTTAGGTGACATACCCTACAAAATTGATGAGGATGGATTCCTGTGTCAGCGAGGCTCAGACGTATTTGAGTACAACTCCAAAGGACTCTTGACAAGAGCTTACAACAAAGCCAATGGGTGGAGTGTTCAGTACCGTTATGATGGACTCGGCCGAAGGGCTTCCTGTAAGACTAACCTGGGGCACCACCTACAGTACTTTTATGCTGATCTTCACAATCCAACAAGGGTCACTCATGTCTACAATCATTCCAATTCAGAAATTACCTCTTTATACTACGATCTGCAAGGCCACCTCTTTGCAATGGAGAGTAGCAGCGGGGAAGAATATTATGTCGCCTCTGATAACACAGGCACTCCATTAGCCGTGTTCAGCATCAATGGCCTCATGATCAAACAGCTTCAGTACACAGCATATGGGGAGATTTACTATGACTCTAATCCTGATTTCCAGCTGGTTATTGGGTTCCATGGGGGGCTGTATGATCCTTTAACCAAACTTGTCCATTTTACCCAGAGGGACTATGATGTCCTGGCTGGACGCTGGACATCTCCTGATTACACCATGTGGAAAAACATTGGTAAAGAACCTGCTCCTTTCAATCTGTACATGTTCAAGAGTAACAACCCTCTAAGCAATGAACTGGATCTGAAGAACTATGTAACAGGTGAGACTTTGTTACATTCCTTATTAACAACACTATGGTTTGGAAGTTGATCTGGGAAGGAAATCAGGCTTCTTAGCCATTTTCTGAATCTTCCTGTCCAGGTTGGGCCATTTTCCTTTTTGTGCTATGATAAGGGCTGGCTAGTCCTGATTCTTTGATGCTGCCCCTGCCCAAATGAAGGGCACTAAATAAGAAGCCATAGGGAATTTATGGAGGGGAAAAAAATAAATTAACTCTCAAAATGAACTGCTGACTGAGCCCATGGGCGCATTATGAATTAGTGCCAAGAACTGATTTAATTAAACCTCTTTTCCCGTTTAACTTTTAATACACAAGCAGTTTTCAATCTTTAAAGCCAAAATATTGATTTTTAGAAATATTCTTACCCCTTGCAAGTGTAAGAAATGTGATGGAATGTGTAGAGCTGAGGAAGAGAAACAATAAAGTAGTTTTGATTGCAGATGTTAGAACTGGGTAAAACTTGTAACCTCTTCTTAATTAGTAGTAATTTTTCACTTAGTGAGATCACACAGTGCTCAAGCCTGCTGCTGGCAACTTCTAAAAAGAAAGGTAATTAGTGTGTCTTCAGGAAAACCTTTTCTCAGCACTGAATATGCAGTATCCAGTAATTAGAGCAGTGGTATCATTTATAAAAAGGAGCTATCTTAATTTTAGCAGTAATTTGAATTTCAAGAAAAGTGCATTTCCTTCAGAGAAAATCGCAGCAAGTTTCATTGGTACATTGGGGCGTAATCATGTGTGTAACATCCCAGAGGTTCTATTGGAGCTACTTTCCAATTTAGAGATAGTGCAACTTGTATCTGATAGTGTGAAAATACTAGTGACTAAAATGACCTTGGGATCAAATTCTGTTGTCCTAAATTCAAGTCCTATTTTCATCCAACAGTGGATGAAAATTATGAGATCTAAATCACTGGTTTAGTTTTTCAGTGTCATCTTACGATATTTTGCTATGTTCTGAAATTTCATTCATTTAATTTATTCACCCACTGGATGAAGTCTGGGAAGATCTATTGCATTTGGTCCACACACACCTTGCAGTCTGTAAAAATACTTCATTGGTGATGAAAATATTTGTTGCTGTATGGACTAAAGAGATTCTCTTGCACAAGAAGGGATTATGGTGGTCCTGGGTTGTCATAGCTTAAAAAGCAACCCAAACAGAAAATAAAAGAGCTACTTCCCCACCCCAATCCATTCTTACTGTTAACCCCTGACACTGCTTTATTCATAGGTTTTGATGGAAAGGAATTCCTGTACCAAATGCAGTGCTGCAAAGCAGAACGGTAACTAATTTGCATATAGGTCTTCCTCTTTTTTTGTGGAAATAGGGCAGCTGAAGTGAATTGTTCAGGAGATACCATTATACCATAAAATAAACTGCAGCCTTAAAAAGGAGCAGTGACCCTGTGCTGTCCAAAGCTACAGGAAAAATACGGTAGTCACTGTGTGATGGGAGATATATACAAAGGTCTTTACAGAAACAGAGGATCTTACTACTAATTTTAGTGTCAGAATGGCTAACGAAAGGAAGAGTCCCCAGCCAGGGAGTACTGCACTTTTTATGGTGTAATATGTTGGGAAAACAGGCTTTGCAACAGCAAGCAGGCTCCGTGCTGTGTCTGAGAGTGTCCCCAAGGTCTGTGTGCAGGGTGGGTGCTCTGCTGGCACCCCATGTGCCTGTGGCAGCAAGCGGAGCTGCTGTGTACCGTGCCTAGGGTGCTGAAAATGCAGAGACCCTTGCAGCAGGAGTGCCCTTCACAGTCACATCTCTTCAGACACGGGGTTTGGCTCACACACGCAAGCAGCAATAGCACCATCAGGAGCTGTTGTAGGCCAGTGAGGAGAGAACGCCACTGGAAAGGATGGGATTTTTAAACAGAAATGGTCATGAATATAGGTCCAAATCAAATGAGAAGTGCCTGTGCTCCCACACTTGCTGCTCATCCCTGTGGCTGGTAGAAAAGAGAAGCAGGAAACAAATGTAAACCAGGGTATGGGCTTTTCCATTGTTGTTAAAAATGTCCCTTGATGACTAAAATACATCATAAGTTCTTAACATGTGGTGAGTGAGAGTTACTGTTATTTAGTGACTTGGGTTTTTCAACAAGATATGAGGACAGAGTTTTACTGATTGAACCCAGAGCTGGAAATTCCGAAAGCTCACTGCAGAGCTGAGCTCTGACCCTCCCAAGCAGCTCCTGCTTTTCCATACTGGGCCTGAAGGAAAGGTGAGGATATTCATGGTGTCTAAATTTAGCCCTCTGAATTACAAGTCTAGCTCCTCACTGCATTTAATGGAGCCTCCAGAGACCCGGTGACAGCTAATAGAAGTAGGACGCAGAAGGCAAGCCATGTATTTTCCCCAAGGACTTTGCAGATGTTTCTAGGAGTACTAACCTAATAAAACATCATTTAACAATAGAGTTTGTAGGTTACAGGAGCCACATCAGAAGGTGTCAGAGATGGAACAAGTATTGCATACAGTGAAATGTTTGGATAATCCATGTGCTCTAATGGAATAAGGATGAGCAAGGTCCTATATCCCTGTTGAACTATTTAGGGAACATGTAAAGCAATATTTCCTGTGCCTGCTCATGGTGGATTACTACAGGTCTATCAAGTGCCGTGCTGTAATATAAATGATGTGTTCCACAGCTGCTTGAAATCAAGGAGGTCAAGGATGGGTTTCTTAAATTTTTTGATTTCTTACCTTTATTACACACATTCATTTCTCACTTGCCTGCTTCCTTTTGATTTCTAGATGTCAAAAGCTGGTTGGTGATGTTCGGATTTCAACTTAGCAACATTATTCCTGGTTTCCCTAGAGCAAAAATGTACTTTGTGTCACCACCATACGAGTTGTCTGAGAGTCAAGCATGTGAAAACGGACAGGTAGGCAGAAATATGAAGTTATTTCTATGAATAGAAGTGCTGGCTCTCGTGTAGTTACAGTAGAAGGCCAAGTATTTATTTCTGGGTAAAACTAAGGGAGTATAGCTAGATTTTATCCTAATGAACATATGCCTTTCTTGCCAGCCTTCATTGTTATCATAATTGCAGTGTCATTAGTTTGTCTTTTATTGAGTTCTTCCTTGATTAACAAGTTGTAACTCGATTAACTTGATTAGCAATGACAAAGGGAGACTTTGTCAGGGCAATTCATCATCTGTTGTACCTTTGGAAAAACCATCCTAATAACATGTGTTGCAATAAACTTAGGTTGGTATTTGCTAAGGAAAGATTCTTCTTCTCCCCCGGAACAGGATTTCTCACCATTTTTTGTCTATGTTTTTCCTAGTTAGAGGCTTTGGTTTGCTACTCTAATTACTACAGTTAAATTCAGTTACAGCATTCACACTTGTCAGGTTAAGGATGGAAAATGGTATATAATAAATAAGTATAGCTTTATAATAAATCCCAACCCGTTAATAAACTTAGAGTACTAGGCCAACTCCGAACTTAATCTTTGTTTTTACTTCACATCTGTGGTAATACAACAGAAAGGATTGTATAAACCTAAGCATACCACTTTACAGACTTCTAAGTCATTTGAGAGTTTAAATCCCTTCTTTGGGAACTGCTTTGTTATTTTGGAGCCCAACTTTTACCTAGTTTCAGAGGCTTGCATTCCAAAGTCTTTTAGTCATCTATGCTGGTTGAAATCCCAGAAGTGCTGTGCTGTCTTTTACTAGATTGAGTCTGTTTGGTTTCAGCTCAGATTAAAATTGTTCTAGTCTTGGATTTTACTATTTCTTGTAATGGACATTCTGTAATTTGCCAAAATTGAGATCTGTGGTACATGTGTGCTGCAGAGAGTGATTAATGAGAAATATTGAATCTGGTATTGCTAATAGCAAAATAATTTGCCAAATGAGTACTTCTCTGATTCTGAAGGATATACGGGTAGTGGAGGGTGGTCTTCCCATAGCACAGAATTTCTCACTGCATAGATCTCCTTTAAAAAGCCAAAGCAAAGGTTAGTGTTGGTCTCTGAAATGAGTATTTTGAGATCTATATCTTCTTTGGTGGTTTTGTGCCTTCTTTTGCTTTCCCCAGCTAATTACAGGAGTTCAGCAGACGACAGAAAGACACAACCAGGCTTTCATGGCTCTTGAGGGCCAGGTCATATCTAAGAGATTACATGCCAATATTAGAGAAAAAGCAGGTCGCTGGTTTGCCACAACCACGCCTATCATTGGGAAAGGAATCATGTTTGCTGTGAAGGAAGGCCGTGTAACCACTGGCGTTTCCAGCATAGCCACAGATGACAGCAGGAAGATTGCCTCTGTCCTGAACAGTGCTCACTACCTGGAGAAAATGCACTACAGCATCGAGGGGAAGGACACCCATTACTTCGTGAAGATCGGCTCGGCTGACAGCGACCTCGTCACCCTCGCCATGACCAGCGGGAGGAAGGTGCTGGACAGCGGAGTCAACGTCACGGTGTCCCAGCCCAGCCTGCTCGTCAGCGGGAGGACTCGAAGGTTTACCAACATCGAGTTCCAGTACTGCACCCTGCTCATCAACATCCGCTACGGACTGACCCCCGACACGCTGGACGACGAGAAGGCCCGAGTGCTCGACCAGGCTCGGCAGCGAGCGCTGGGAGCAGCCTGGGCCAAGGAGCAGCAGAAGGCACGGGACGGCCGCGAGGGCAGCCGCGTATGGACAGATGGAGAGAAGCAGCAGCTTCTGAACACGGGAAGGGTGCAAGGTTACGAGGGATATTATGTCCTGCCCGTGGAGCAGTACCCAGAGCTAGCAGACAGTAGCAGCAACATCCAGTTTTTAAGACAGAATGAAATGGGAAAGAGGTAACAAATTAATCTGCTGTCATCCTTTGCTGGATGAATCAGTAGTCATAACTGTTATCTCCTCTCCTAAGGAGATGAAGACCTAAATGGGGGCACTAGGCTGAGCTACTCTGGGATAGTAAGTGGCAAAAAGCTCATATTTTTTGAGTTAAATGCCACTGTTCAAGTGATTAAAACCCACATCCTGAAGTGGACTAAAGCCAGACTGAAAACTCTAACCATACAAATTAAAAAGTACCCCTGAAATATTACCCACTTGTTCTGGGTCTAAAGGAAAACAAAAAGAAGGCCTCGTATTGTATTACCTCACTCCATTCACATGTGAGCAAACTAAGAAATCCAAGTGGGCCACTTTCACTAACCAGCTGATGAAACACAGATGATTCAGACTGCTTGTTTGATAAATATCCAAGAGGTTTTCATTTAAAGCAAAATACAGGTGCATTTAAAACATGACTTTGGGGTGATTTGTGTGTAGCAACTGGAGGACAATGAGAATGCAAGTGAGAGCACACTGGAAATAGGAAAGCAAAATATATTTAAAAGTAACAAAACCACACTTGCACTCTGACCCTCCCCTGGTCTGGCCTGAAGCTTAACTTACTCAAAGAGGGCAGAGTGTAAAGTTACATTCAAAATGGTGGCTATAAATCACTACAAATAAATTTCATACTCTGTTTGTCTTTGAAGATTTCCATTGTGGACAGTATAACACAGTTACAGGGTGTAGTCTGTTTAGATTCAGTAGTTTGTTGGTATCAGTTCCAGTAGAGCTGTGGGCATTGTGTTAACACTATTGCAAATGGGCACCACGTCAGATCACCCTGTACATACATCAGCCAGAAGGCACAATCACTGTTTCAGATTTAAAAATTATTAGTGTGTTTGTTTGGTCGAGAAACTGAGACAATCACATTACAGTCACCACAGAAAAGAAAAAAAAAAAAAAGAGAAAAAAAAAAGTCTAATAAGAACTTTGGTACAAGAACTTTTTTGTAATATACATGTATGAATTGTTCATTGAGTTTTTATATTAATTTTAATTTGCTGCTAAGCAAAGACTAGAGACAGGCAAAGATAATTTATGGCAAAGTGTTTAAATTGTTTATACATAAATAAAGTCTCTAAAACTCCTGTGAATTACTTGTCTTCCATTGTGAAATCTTTTCAAAATGAAAAAGTCAGTGTCTTGCTGCCACCTAATGCACACAGCATCTCATGGGGCACAATGACGTGCTGTTGGACCATGGATTCTGCAGAGGGCTGGTCCTTTGACCTCCGGGTAAGCAACACCTCACCCAAACCTCCACTTAGGACACAGCAGAAAACTGGTACCTGTTGTTGAAGTTCCCCCGTGCACCTCCCAACCAGAAACCCTCAAACTGCCATGTTTCAATCCTGGAATCAGTTTAATTGCACTAAAGTGTCCTCCAAACAGTCTGAAACTGCAGCAACATGCTACTAAATGGAATGTGGAAGGCAGTGCTGTGAGCCAGGAAGTCTCCATGAAATCTGTCTTCTTTGGGAGATTGCTTATTTCTGCCATTCATTAAAAACTGGAGGTAAGCTCAAAGACCCTCTCCTAAGCAAACAGTCACTCCTGGTGATGTTGAAAGGGAACCATCCATCAACTAGAGCCCTGCTGCTTTTATCTCATTTCAGTATGTAGCTAGGGAGCTCTACTTAATTTTGAGAACAATTTTGCTTTTGGGGTTGCAAATGAGTTTTTTAATTATTCATGGTATAGACAGAGATGCTCGAGTTGATTGTGGGTATTAATTCACTCCAGGTCACTTTTAAAGCAGAGCAGTTCAGTGGCTGTGTTCTGGAACACCTACAGCACTCACAAAGTGCATCTAATCTCCATTGTGATGAACCCTTGCACCCATGTGCAGGGCAGGGGAACCCTGAGCTCACTTACTTACCCTCTGAAGGCTGATTCCGGGTACACTTTCAGATGAAGCCCTTTGTGCCCATCACTGCAGATGTTTTTCTGTGCTGATGGACTTGAAGTGCCATTATGCTATCACGCTGTTCTTTACCAGTGAAAACTCTTAATGATGTATTGTGATTTTTTTTAATGGAGGCATAAACCACGACATACCGAGGTGCAGACACTTCATTGCCACAGCTTTTCTGGGTTACCCTTGGCCTGTACTGGTAAGCTTCTTGGGTCATTTTTTGGAATGAAGTGTTTCTCGCTGTTGAGAGGGTTGAAACCAGAACCTGTTGCACAGTCCCTGGTGTCCTTTATTCTGTTACCATTCTCCTAAAACTGAAACTCTTCAGAATTAGAGATTCTGCAACTTCAAAGGGAAATGCAGTGAAACTAAAAGAAGTACCTTTTTAATATGAATTACTGTGGGAGGAGATGTAACAGGTTTGCAGGAGAGGCACTCCCTGCGTGGCTCCTTTGCATCATCGGGATGTTCTTAAGCACATTTGGGGGTGGTTCAGTCATGTTTGCATGAGCAGTATATCTGCATGGGCAAAGCTCCCTGCCTGTCCTTTGGGCAAGTAACTGTAGTATGTCCAGTGATGTAGAAAGCCTTGTGTGGTGCATCAAAGAGATTGGAAGAGTTACTGTGCTTTGTCAGTATGACAAAGAGCTAGATGCTCTCATGTCTGTAAAAAACAGCTGACCGTTAGAGGCCTTACTAAAGAGCTTTTCACTTAATGAATGGGGGAGATAGCTGTATTGATGTGGCCATGGTCAGCCTCTTCCTACCTCCTCTCCTGTGGGCCCATCCGAGTTTCCTCTCTTTCTTGAAGTATCCTTTTCTCCTTTTTCCTTTCTACAACCCTCCCTTTCCTAATTCCCCTCAAATCGGTATCTCCTGCTCCTCTCAAAGCTCTTCCTCTCTCCTCCTTGCTACACTTTTCCATGTGGAATAGGCGATTAACCTAAAGCAACACAAAGGAGGCATGAACTGGGATCCTGCTTATGGGAGAGAGGTGCCTTTAACAGTGATGCTGTGGCTGTGTCCCCACCAGTGCTGTGACCAGGACAGGCCAAGAGCAGCCATGCAAGGACCTGGCCTGAGAAGCTGTCCTTGCTGTGGGAAGGCATGGTGCCTGAGCCACAGGTGTGGGTTTGTCCTTCTAACTCCCTTGAGCATCAGCTGAGGTGTCTGCAGAGTGACGCAAACCTGGGAACAGGCTCCTGTTTGAAGCTAAAACCAGATGCAGGATCAGCATTAGAGCGTGTTTCCTTTTTTCCTATTAGATTGCTGTAACTGAAGGGATTTGGTATTTAGAACCTTGCATTTCCTGACTTAGCCCAAAGCCTGGGACGTGCTTGTCAGTGTAGGCTGTGACTGCACATCCTGCTCCTCGCCACCACTGGTGTTCCCTCTCAAGGCTGCACTCCACAGCACTTTGGCCGCATGATGGCAGTTCTGCCCAGGAGACACTCGGGGGTACCAGCCTTTGCCTCCTTGCACTGCCTTGCCCACACCAGTCCCCAGCAGTGCCTTGTCAGCCTTCCTGAGTGGCCTTGGGGTGTCCCAGATAAAGGCACCAACAGAAGCTCCCCTTAAAGCTGGGCCAGACCAATGGATCCACAATACTCTCATGGGAACACGCATGGGGAAGGAAGCATTTAGACCTTATTTGTCTTTCCTTTGCTACCTGGAGTGCAAAGACTCACACACACACACACACACACTGGGCTCTGGGAATGCGCAGTCTGAAACGTGCACAGGCACTGGCTTTGGCATTGTTAGCTTTCACCTCCCACCCCTGGGGTAATGTAGCCCCTAAGAGGTTTCCTGACAGAAATGACTGTGCCAACAGCATCCTGCCTCTGTAACATCACCCTGTAAGCCCCTGATCTTCATGTAGCCCAGGCTCATCATTGCTGTAAGAGGAAAAAGCTAGATATCCCTCCTCTGTCCTGGACATGACCGTAGCACCTCCTCCTAAGCTCTCCCATGGTTGTTGGTCAATAATTTCCTGTGCAAACAAGTATCAGCCTTCCCCAGGAATTCAAGAAAACTGCATCAGAACTGAGTGCTGTTGAGTAACTTGTATTAACTGCTTCATGCTGACTTTTCTGTCAGGTTGAAGCTTTTGCTGACAAGTCTTGCAAGCTCTTCGAAAGCACTTGGCGATGATCAAACATGGGAACATGTTCGACATTCAGCTCTGAGGCTACAGCCCTAGGAAACCCAAAAGGTGAAGTTTTTGTCACCCTGTGATACTGTCCTCTGTTCGTCTTGCATGAGAGCCACTTGATGAGATCTGACTTATACTCAGGAGGCCTTTATTTTAACTGTGCATGTGTTCAAAGGTGAGATCTTACCTTACAACTAAGATGGGATGGCCTCACAAGTCCTACACCAGCCAAATATTAAGCACAAGGCTCTTAACCTCAGGAAATGCAGATTCTATCTAGAAGGCAAGACTTTCTACAGCAGTATTTTCTCCAAAGAGGAGCTAAAAGTAGATGTCCCTGGGCAATTCTGAATGTGGGAATGGGGCTCCACTACTCAGATGTAGTGTAACAGGCTCACTGGCTCTAGCTAAGTGGGGTAATAAAGAGGTACCAGGGTATCTCTGCCTTTGAGCTTTTCTGCCAACAAGGAAAGTTCCTCCCCAACCTCTTCAGGTGCATTCTGCAGCAAAAAGGTTTACAAGGATTACTTAGTTTCAATCATACTCATTGCAAAAATCTGCCACTCTGGAGTCAAACTCACTTCTCCACCTCAGTGGCACCAACTGCTCATGTGAGTTTAAGACAGGGCATCACTTGCCACAGTGCAGTGGCTGAGGCAGCTGCAAAAGACATTTTACTTGCCAGATCTCTTATTCAGCAAAGAAGACCTACAGCCTCACAGTCTGTCAGCCCATGTGTCATTGTCTAACCCCAGCCAGCAACAGCACCACACAGCCACTTGCTTACCCCTCCCCTTGCCCCAGTGGGATGGGGAGAAGAACCAAAGAAAAGCTGTTCTGAACCCACAGGTTTGGGTTGAGAACGGCTTAGTAAATGAAATAAAATATAATAAGGACTGTTATTAAAAGGGAGGTAACTAAAAGAGAGAGAGGAATAAAACCCAATAAACACAAGTGATGCCAATTGCTCACCACCCACTGACCGATACCCAGCCCGACCTGAGCAGCAATCTGCCCTTCAGGGTGGCTTCCCCCAGTTTATATAGTGGGCATGACATGCTGCGGTATGGAATATCCGTTTGGCTGGTTTGGGTCAGGTGTTCTGTTTCTGCTTCCTCCCGGCTTCCCGTGCCCCTCCTCCCTGGCAGAGCATGAGGCTGGAAAGTCCTTGATTAGAGTAAGCATTGCTGAGCAACAACTGAAACATCGGTGTTATCAGCGCTGTTCCCAGGCTAAATCCAAAAAGTGCAGCACTGCACCAGCTACTAGGAAGGAAGTTAATTCTATTCCAGCTGAAACCAGGACACCATGGAAAATAGTGAAGGATTGCTGGCTGTAGCAGATGGCTCCATTGGGCAGAAGCTGTCACAGGAGGCTGATGGTGCTGGTAGGTACCATTATTCATATACTGTACACTGTAAATGCTTGTTTAGGTCCATCATGGCCAAAAATTCTCCCCCTTTGCCATGTATGTCTGTCATCTCCCTAACAAACACAGTTTTATGCAATGCTTAAACATGACCAAGAGCTCTAGAAAGACAAATACTATTGCCAGTGTTGAAGCACAAACTGCCCTGTGCTGGTAAAGCCTTTTCTGCTTCTGTCCAACCCAAGGCAGCAGTGCTGGGCAGATCTAGAATCACAATCATGAGCTGTGTGTCTACAGCTACATCTGACAGGTGATGTAGTAGCATGAGTGACTGGGAAGAGCAAGTGGTATTTGACCGGCAGCCGGTCCTGGGTCACACAGCAGTCATCTCTGCATGCTGCAGCACCCTCACAGCTGGACCCATCACACTGGAGGGCTGAGTTGGTCATTTCAATCTCAGCTGACCAAGAACTCTCTATGTGGCACAGACACCACCAAAACCAAGTGAAACCCGAGGCGGGAGCACCGGTGGGGTGTGCTCAGGTACCACATCAGGCACCCAGCCAGGTGAGCAGCCTAGAGAGCAGCCTGGCAGGAAGGCAGGGCCTCGACCCTGCCACCTCTCCCATGCTTTGTTTGAGTGGCTGCAAGCACC